ATATTTGGTGTTTGAATCATTAAAATATGCAGCTGTAAGCATTTTTAGAGGGAGCTTCAGCCATTCGTGGCTGTGGTCCAAACTCCTGCAAATTCATATCATTTTTTTATTTATTTTTTTCAACCATTATTTTTCTAATTTCAAAAGCACAATTAAGAGCTCATTTATTGCGCTTCTTTATAATATAAACCCATTTGAAATGTATCAGTTTGGTGTCCAGGAAAGCCGAGGAGGAAGAAAACGGAGACTTTAACTCTAAACATCCAGCTCCGTCTGGATGGTAAACAGAACGACATCAAGTTAAAATGCAGTTGAGGAAAAAATCAGGGCTGTCAAAAGGTCACCGGTCCCGTCTCCGAGCCTGAAATACAATCGGTCGTGGTTCAAATCCAACTAGACGGAGTTCATCACGCAGTGTGTGCCCCCCGTATAAGTCAGGAACACACGTACGTACACACACACACGGCCCGCGTTTGACCCGCCCGTGCCACAGATGGGACTTTCTTTCCCGTCGCACCACCTGCAAAGACCCGGTTAGTGTTTCCTCTCAGCCGAATCCTCCCCTCCCTCCGTTTTCGATCTGCCTTTTGATGGCTAATCCTGGACTCTTGAGTTTGACTCTCAGGGTACTAATAGACCGGCGAGTGTGTGCAGACGCTGCAACAGAGGGAAGAGACTGATGGTGGGATCACATGTCTCCCTCCAACACGGTGGCGACTAGAGTCGGGTTCCACTTGACGACTACAAAGACAAAACTGGGTTCCCGTTGCAAACTACAAAGTGGACAGAGTTGAGAAAGGCCTGAAACAGGCCAGATGGAGCCAGTCTGACACCTGGGAGCGGCGGGAATGGTTTTCATCCGAGAGGCCAAGTTTCTGACAGTCTAACACAACTACAAACTCACAGCAAAACTGTTTGATGTTAGTCAGTTTCGACTAATGTTTGAAGACATTAGTCTGAGTCAACAAATAATAACAAAATGTAATCAAAAGTTTTACGATAATATAATTCTGTCCAAGCTTCAACTGACTCTTCAGCAAATCCTGATCCTACATGTTTTTTCAAAATAAATAGCAGGGGCATTTACTGGGGAGTTTGGACGTATTTTAATCACTATATGTGCAGATAATAAGTTTTCAGAACGCATGCAACAGGAGTGAAGCTACTTTTTACTTCTGAATAGATGTGGGGACAAAAACTATAGAAAGAAAAACAGTTTTTATATTTTATATTCTTTTACAGGAGCATCACAGAAAATTGTGAATATTGAAACCAACTACATGATTATCCCCCACAGATAAACGCTCAAAAACATTTAAAATAACTATTTGGTTTCCCTTTGTTGGCATCTGAGATCAGGGTTTTGGATTTTTTCAGTGTTGTTTAGGGAACTGAACAAAGCATTAAGTCTGGAGTGGAATAAAGTTATCAACATTTTTAAAGTATTTTATAATTCAGTCCATATCTGACAAATTTAAGTGTCATAGATTTTAAGACAGAGCTAGAAAAACTTTACCAATCAACTAGCTGAGAACTCAACATTGTGTTTTTATTGTGTGCTAAAATGCGCAAAAAGCCCTTTAAAAATGAAGTGGAAAGAATTTTAAAATGTAAAATGTGCAGAAATCCCAGATTTCTCGTCGTTTAAGTCCAGATTTTATGACATGGTAAAAGAATGCCGGTGTGCTTATGCCTGTAATGCTCCATGTTGTTACCGCGTGTGTCTTTGTGTTGCTGCCTGCAGCCATGCTACGCTTGATTAGCCCTAATCTGGCGGGGAGTCAGGTTGCCGTGTCGGTGGCGTGTGTGTATGGAAAGCATGCAGGCTGCAGATCACAGGGATTGACCCCCAGCCTCTCAGGTTAACAGAAGCCTCCACGTGTGTGTTTGTGTGTGTGTTCTGAAAAACTCAGGTTGTGAAACGTAGAAACCGTCTCAGCCCCTCGGGTGTAAGAGACAGGAATCTGGGGCGCGTGAAGAATCGCTGTCCAGATCAACCGCACAATGTTCGGCTGCGGGAAAAAGAGCAACACGGACGTAGGCGAGTCTGTAAGAAGCCTAGTTGAACTTTGGCTCTGGGTTCAACGCAGCAGAACTCACCTCTCATAAAACTCGCCCTGTTCAGGCTGTAAACATAATACCACACACTCACACTCTGCCGCCACCAGCTCCAGAGACGGATCGCCTTTTTATGAACGCACTATCCAAACAGCAGGCCGGTTCTCATCCCCCCGGCGCTTCAAACAACAGAAAAACGTGTTGCTGGTTTAGCAGGAACAGAACCGCAGCAAAGTGGTTGCCTGCAGCAGAGTGAGCCGCCAGCTTAAGTTGTCTGTTAGTGTCTGTGTAAGTGTGTGTTAGGGAAGTTTTTGGGATCAAACCCTCATGTCGACAGAGCCGGCGCTGAAGAGACGACCGCTGACAGGTGCTTCCTGCAGCAACACAGCAGGTGCTTCAAACTCATTCACACACACACACACACACACACACACACACACACACACACACACACCACACACACACACACACACACACACACACACACACACACACACACACACACACACACACACACACACACACAGAGGCTATCTTTGTGGGGACTTTCCATTCACTTCCATGCATTTTTACAGCCTAAACCTTATCCCAACCCTAACCCTAACATACCTAGCCCTAACCCTCACTAAAACTCAATTCACACCTTAGTCCTAACTCTGACCCCTGACTCTTGTGGGAACCAGGCTTCGGTCCCCCACAACGTAATATGTGTCAGGAAAATGGTCCCCAGAATGTATTATAAACAAACGCAGATACTATGTGTACTGATGCACACAAAAATACACACAGACACACACACACACACACACACAGACACACACACACACACACACACACACACACACACACACACACACACACACACACCACACACACACACACACACACACACACACACCCCCACACACACACTTCTCTTTCCCCTTTGACACACACAAGCTGTGGGCTGCAGGCTAAACTTAACTCTCACAGCCGCTGTTGATGCATCTCAGGGTTCAGTTCGTTTGGTGTCATTTTCTTAAGAGGCCTCTCCTTACTTGTTGCTTTTACAAAATACATTTTAAATAGCAAAACTGTCATTTGCTACAGATAACACTGGTTTAAGCTTAAAGTTTCCTTCTTCAGCCTCAAGCCATAAAACCGCAACCGATGAAGGAGAGTTTTATCTGCCTGCCTTCGTCTGATAGAATGAAATCCCCTCATTCGGGGCTGTTTTGGTCCGTTCAGCTGCCAGCATCACCGGATGTCAGCCGGGTGTTTTGCAGTCACTCTATAGCATCACTTTCAGCAGCTGCCTGCTGTTAAAAGCTGTCCTGAAAACACTGAGTGGGAACCAAAACTGAAACTTTACCAGAAGGAAACCAAAAGCAGAAGTAGAAAAGTCTTAAAATTGTCCCTGCAGAAATTTTTATTTTTTTATTTTTTATTTTTTGCTTTTGCTTTTGTTTTTTTAAGGCTGATCGCAATAATTCTCTTGGGAATTATTAACACGTTTAATTTAATTCAGCGAGTCAACAGTTAGATGACGTTGCTACATCACAAACGACTGCACTGCTCTCCATTCTTTTAAAGGTTTTTGCAGCAATGGTTGAACTCCAAGGTGCAGCAAAAGCAAATGAAGTGGATTAGCAGTACTTCCTAATCACAAGTGTGTCATTCAGGACATGTTAGTGTGGAATATTGTTTTTACTGTCTGGATATTCAGCTGTTAGCATAACATGACAGCCATGAAACTGTTATACAACCAGTCTTCAGTCAGAGGCCTCTTGATATTTGTAGCAAGATTGACTGCTACCATCCACATACATGCATGATGAGACACAACACTTAATTTCCCTTTAGGTACTTTTTAATTTGATTGAATTTATTGAGAGCAATTAGACAGGAAACATCTACCAAAGATCTAATGGTTGGGATGCACCACTCCGATCCTTTTCTTCCACTATGACGTTGAATCAGAATTATTCAATAACTATTCTGTCAAATTTTTTAAAATAGTAACCTTTAAACAGACATTCAAAATACTTTTTTATGAAGCCCACATTTGACATTTCTGCATTAAACGTAATATTATGAACTTAAATGTTGTGTTTTTATCACCTGCGAGCAGAAAACATAAAAATGAACAGAAATAAAGACATAAATATATGAAATCAACAGTTCACTGAGTGAACTGAGTTACTGAAATAAATTAGGTTTATATTTTAATTCAATAAGTATGACTATATATAATTGAGGAACATGTGATTTTTGAACCCTTAAAGATTTTTTTTTAAATCGTATTTTGTTTGTTTTTATGCAATAATGAAAAATATTAAAGGTTTAAACACATTTCATGTAATCTGTTCACTGCACAGCTTCCTGCCTTTCTCATTTTTTAAAGTAAAGAATGTCGTGTTTCTGAAAATGTACATTTATACCCAAAACCTTATAAAAGTTCAGATCAGATTAATTCAGGCATTGTTTAATTTGAGCAGGATTTCTGAAATGTATTAATGTTTGTGTTTGCTTTATTTTGGAATCAGAAAAAAATCAAATGACTGATGTCATTCAGTTGGATTATTAATCAGGTTTTCCTCTATCGGTGTTTGTGACATTACAAACAATGTATAGATGGTTTAATTAAATAAGAGTGTTGAGAAGAAATGAGTTTATATTGTGTTCTGTGCTTATTATTTCTCTTAATAAAAAAAAAAGCTTGATTTTCCTATTTTCTTTTGCTACTTTTGTTTCTAAATAATTGACTATGAAATTCTTGAACCGTATGAATAATTTTAATGTTCACATTAGATATCAAACCTGGAAGCTAAATATATTTTTTTCCAATAACATGTCCTAATAACACATCAAACATTATCGGATTACTAATAAAAAAAAAAAAAACTTTACTTAGGGAGGAAAACCTAAGATTAGATAAAAACGAGTAAAGCAAAAATCTTAAAATACCATTTAATGTAATTGAAAGACGCGGTGCCAGCTGAGTTTAGGGACATGTGGGTCTCCAAGCACAAAGAAAAATAAAAATAAAAATCCCCCGGGGCGTATTGTGTTCTCTGCCCCAAGGTCTTCAATCAGCAAGTCTATTTTTCTCTCTTTATTTTCAATCACAAGCGTCAACATGGCAGCCCGGCCACCGCTGCTGCCAAAACATGGCCGCTGCTCGACAAATCGGAGCCCCTCCATCTGTCCTGATGCCCCCCCACCACCAGCTCCCAAGAGCCATGACGCCATATGTGCCAAATGGGAGCAGAAGTCGTATCGACAAGTCAGACGGATGTTTTTGGGATCTGTGGGCGGATTAGTGTAGAAAGCTGGAGTTAGTTTGGTGAATGTTTTCGTCTATTGAGTGAGGAAACAAACCGAGGACGAAGCCTGTTTGCTCTGCTGCAGCTGTGACTGCAGGCGTGAGGGAGTTTTGCTCTAAACAAGATGAAATCATGGAAAAAATCTACAATTTTTAGTTCATAGCAGATGTTTTATTATTGAACTTTTTTTAAGTCATTCAAACAAAATGTTAAGATTTTTTTTTGTTGTTGTTTTACAATATAAAAAGCCTTATGTCATATTGCAAACAGTTTGACCCAGATTATTTTTCAGCCTATTTGAGTAAAGTCTTCCAATAAGAAACACTGTGATCCCCCATGAAGAAATTCACCAAAGTTTTTCTCTAATGGAAATAAATAAAACATTCTGACTATAAACAGTGAAAATACGAGAAAAATATACAGCATAACTTTTCAGTGTTTATTTTTTTTTAATGGGGTAAAAAAAAAATCTAATATAGCACCATTCTTGCTGGTGGGATACTTTTGTCATCAATTAAATTTAGTAATTCTCTGCAGGATGAGAGTGACGCTTTCTCCTGTGATTAGCAGCTAAAAGCTAATCCAGATGTTTTTTTTCTACTAAAACCTTCAAAATGACAAGAACACCTGTCTTTAAATATATATATATATTTTTGTAGTTGTAATTTTTATTTTACTCGGGGGTTTTGAGTGGAACACACCAGAGCGATGGTGGGAGAAGAGGGTGCTGTCTCTGTGGGCGCCATGTCTCTCTCTGTGCTGCTCGGAGCCTCATCCAAGTTCACAGTTTTGTCAAAATGAGGGCTGGGGTCCTTCTCCGTCAGCAGGTGAGGGGGGATGTATGCAGAATGTGTCTTTGCGTGCTCCCTGCTCCGGGGGCGGTGGGCGTTTGGGGATTTTTGGGGGCAGCGGCCCCTCTTGTCCTGCCCCCGGAAGCCCCTGAGCTTGGGGCTCCAGTGTTCCCGCCACTGGAGGGCCAGTGTGGAGCGGTCCGCCACCAGGCGACTCTCTTCCGGAGCCCAACTCCGCTCCCCTTCCTCTGCGCCGATGAGGAGGAATGTCCGGCCCACGTGGAGGGCGGGGCAACCGCAGCTGAGGTCGCGGTCGGGAACCCAGAGGGACTGGGAGCCCCTCCGGACACGGGACTTAGAGCCTGTCCGGAAGACGGTTTGTACAGCGATGGAGAACTGCCACCACGGTCCTGAACGCTCCATCCCTCTCACCTGCACCTTCAGCACTGACAAAGAGAGAAACATTTTAATGTCATCTTTTACATTCTCAAGACAATTTGAGTAAATACAGCAGCGAGGATCAAGCATGTGTGATCTTTTTACACTGGTTTACAGAGATTTGGCCGTCTGTTTAACATCCAGAATCTCAATTGGGTTTAATTCCTGTCTTTGACTAGACCACCCCATTTCCTTCATTTATGTTTTCGGAGCCGTTCAGAGACCCTACTGGACGATGGCTCTGCTGCATATCGGATGCAAGACTTTTTAGGTGATGGTCAGACATTTTTTTCTCTATATTTTCTTGCAGAAATCAGAACTCAAGGTTCAATCCTTCAAAAGAAGTTGTCCAAATCCAGGGGCAGCAAAGCCGTCCCATTTCATCAAACTACAACCATCATTATCTAAACCTTCGGTGTTGTGTTGTTCGACATTTACAGCAGGAGTGTTAGGATGTACTTTTTTTAAAAATTTCACTTGCCGATGTCTTTCTGGGTTCCTTTGTTACGTCCCGGATGAGTTGTTGATGTTCCTGTTGAGTAATTTTGGTCAGCCACCCACTTCTGGGAAGACTCGCCACAGTTTTACGGTTTTCCATTTGAGCAGGATTGTTTCTAACAGAGGCTCATTTCATTCTTCATTCTCAAATCCTTAGATGTCAGTGGCTTTTCCCCCCCCCAGCTCTTCTCCAATTCCTTGAAATCACATGACGTGTTGCTTTTTTAAAACTTTTAATGTCGCCAGATTGGTTCTGTTTAAGTGATGTCACAACTCTACTATTCAGCCCTGCGTGTGAATAGTGAGCATAAATTTAAATGTGTTTAAAACGTGTTAATTAATGATTCAACAGAGCAATTGTTGGTGCCATGGGTCGTGCCTCATTCAAATGAGGCAAAAAAAAAAGAAAATAAAAAAAAAAGAAAGGAGAATGTGTAAAAAGGTAAATAAATTTCCCACTACAATGTTTCAATTATTTCTAATGTTTTTGGGTTGTAAATTTGTCTAAGTTTCTTGAGTTCTGTGTTAAAACAAGTAATTGAAAACAAGAAAAAAATATACAAATTTACCTTTTTCCTTGCAATGTTTTTCAATGTTTAACTAATAACACCTGCTTATTGTGTAACGCAATAAATCATACCTCAAATTTATGATATTTGTTAAAATTCTAGAATCTAGGATCTCTACTCATTTTCTTGTGAATAAACACATATAACTTGAAACCCACCGTAGTCCTTGAGACAATACGTCTCCAGGTTCATCCTGACTTTGACCTCAGAGGGCTGGCAGTAGGACACACACTCCTCCGCTGCAGGAAAAAGGAAGACAGAGAGAAATGCAGCGAGGTGAGAGGCCGCCGTCGTTTCTCAGCACACACATCAACACGCGTCTTTTAGCCTGATTGCGGTACGACTCCTTCCATGTGTCATCGCTGGATCTGATCTCGGCAGCAGCAGGTGGGGATTTCTTCAGGCTGCCACTAGGAGGGACTGGTTCCCTACTCCAGCACGGCGTAAAGCAGCCGAAAGCGTTTCAGGGCCCGATCCGCTGGAGAACAAATCTGATATCTGTCGACACGCGAGACTGAAACCTTTATGCTGGAAATCCATGAAGCGGTGACCCACTGAAGGCTCATGTATCTGTTATTTCATCTTATTCTGTAATGAATGTTGTTGCATGCAAAAATATTTGTTTCTATTTTTTAATTTAATCTAGATAATAAAACTAGTGATGTGTTCATCATGCTTTATCAAAGTAGGCTTAACCTGCTAGATATGATTTTGTCTGATTTTATTTCAAAGTACTAACGTGTTAATAAGAGCTACAAAGAAAACACTCTTGTTATGTGTTTATGGAGACAGAAATTTTAACTTTTATCTGCCTTTTAAAATAAAAAGTAAGGACAAAATACAACTGGAAATGTAAGTATTTAACCTGAGAAAGTTGAATAGTTAGTCTGAGAAATTTTATTTGAGGCTGTCTTTTGTGTGCAGTGAGTTATTTTGTGAAAAATGTGCACAAATACTTATTTGTAATTTGCTTTTAAGTCAGGCTTTATTTTTAAACTGGCTTTGATCGACATTTCTCTGGACTTTTCTGAAAACACTCCAGATACTTGAAGTTGAATTTTGTCTTTAGCTCTGACAAGTGAACCAGATCAGACTTAAGGAGGCTCTTAAATTCCAGGAGTTGCAGGATATTGTGAGAAGGTTCAGCAACTGTAAATGGGTTCAAAAGTAGTCAAAGTCTAAAAAAAAAGAAAAAAAGAACTCCAGGAAGGGAAAGGAAGTTATCTGTGGTTAAAATGTACATATGAGACTGTAAAAATTAAAGCAACAAGGCAGAAATTTTATTTTTGTCGAGAGGCTTACTATTTTCAAACCGGATGAGGTCCAAGACAAACATATCCATAACATCCATAAAAGTCATAATATATGCCGCAGTGAACAGATTTTGTACTTTAAAAAGAACTACAAAAAAAAATAAAATCACGTGTTTAAATGAATGTTTTGGTCAGTTACTCACCGATGCTGTACTGAGGTTGGTACACCGGGGTTGGAGCGGCCTCCTGAATGCCTGTGAGCATAAACACACCGTCAGGAGACAGTTGCAGACAAACTTCACCTACAAGAGCTGTCAGTCCTGCTGCAATCATGTTTTATGGGTGTTGAGCTCAAATGCCTCATGGTGCACAGGCATGCCTTCGCAAAAGATAAGCAAATGTCAAAAGGGGTGTGTGGTCCTTTTATGGCCTGGAAGTGCACCCTGGAAGACTTGCTCAGACATACACAGTTTTACTTTCAGTGATTCAACAAGGTGAGGCTTTCGCTCCTTGTGCAGCTTTAGCCGAAACATTAAACAGAAACCAGTAAAGTTAGCTGCTCTTTTAGTGTTTGTGTGTCAAATTCAGGAGTGACAATTAATAACTCATGGCCTGCTTATACATTACCCAGACTTCTTGTAAAATAGCTCATGTATGACGGCTTCACAAATAAAGTACTTCCTGTGTGTCGTGTCTTTGACACGGACGTCAAATGGACGTGGTGTGTGTCTGATCCTTCCATTGTTAAAGAATAGTCAATGCAAAGAATACATTTATTTAAATTAAGACTCCACTTAAAATGATCCTTTTGCTCTGATTTTACGTTTTATAGGTGAGTGTTTGAGTAAAATGAACATTGTTCTTTCATTCTATGACCTACTGACAACATTTCAACCTGGAGAGACTCACACACACAGAGAGAGGGTGAGAGTGGTATTAGAAAGTTTAATTGACAAATGAAAGTCTTTGGCAGGACGTTGTGCTGGTAACCGCTGTCAGAGAGAACGAGCCGCTGTGGACACTGGTGGCGGAGAGGATGGTGAAAACCGAATGGACATCGAAGAAACCACGAGCTGAGGGCGGAGGAGGGGCGGAGGAGGGGCGGAGGAGCGCTGAAGCGAAGCCGATGAGGGGAAGCCGATGAACAGCTGGATCTTATCAAGGGAGCGAGGCTCGATGACTGGAGGAGGAGGCCGTCACCGACGGGTTGGAATCGAGGCGCATGACGACATCTCTGGTTGGGCAGGTGAGCTGAACAGAGTCTTCCAGTTTGAATTTACGCCGAGGCTTCATAGTCTCCAAAATTCAAAACAAAAATGTATTTATTTGCTGAAAACTGGTCAAAATAAGGGGGGAAATGCAGAGCTCTCAGACCTCAGATAATAACAAGAAAACAAGTTGATATTCATTATAAACTCAGGAAGAGTGCAGAAATGAATATGAACCAGAAAGGGTTTCAGTGGGGTTCACTGCAGTGGGCTCTTACGTTTTTCCAGAGCAAGCTGCTAAATGTAATTATGTTGCCTTTGTAGGAGAAAATAGCATAAATACCAAGCAAATAAAAATGTCTGGCAAGAGATAGCATGCAGCTTCGCCTCATTGGAGATGAGTTAAGGTGTTGGAAGTGGCAGTGGGGACAAGGAGACGCTATATATAGCCAGTGATGGTCTGGCAGTAAAAACAAACAAGGTTTTCTTTCACTCACTGCTTTCGCTGGGAGAGTTATGAGTCTGGGGGCGTTTGAGCCGTGAAACAGGTGTCGAGGTCCCTGCTTTGGGCTCCCGGCGTCACCTGATTGGGGCCCACAGAGCAGCGCTGCCCGTGTGGTTGTTGGCACTCGGGTGATTAGCCGAGACTCTGCGCGTGGATTATCACTGCGGGCTGATTTTTGCCGCTGCGCAGGCGGAGAGGGGAGCAGCAGCGATCCGTTTGATCAGAGATCAGCGTGAGATGAGGTTTCCTTGTATTGCTCGGCTCATGTTTAACGCTGCCGTGGAAACGGTCTGCGGGGATGAGGAGAAGGAGACGCTGCGAAAGACTGAGAGAAGTGAACTTGGACGCAAGTCGCTCTCCTGTATCAGCCACTCGTTCGGTTGAAGGATTGAGAGATTAATTTAGGTTTTAAGGCCGAAAAACCACAAGCAAATTAGGCAAATGGAAAAGAAATGAAAGATGTATGCATATCAAAAAGATATGAAACTATTAAAAACCACAGAAGGTGTGTTAAGTTAAAAAAAAGTAATTTGCTTTGATGAAGAAAGAAATCATTAGGTTTTCTCCTAGAAAACTGGCTAAACTAGGCTAGTAGTCTAAAAAACATATTTTCAAACAAGTTAATTAACAATAGTTATAGGCCATGTCATAATGCATGAATTTAAGGAATGATTACCTGAAAAATTGTCACTCCTCCTGATATTTAATAACATACTTAATAAGCTTTATATAACAGCTTAAACCATTGCAGAAAAAAAAACAAAGGGAAAATGAAAGATGTCTGTTAAATAAACAGCCAGCTATTAAAAACAAGACAAAGCCAGTTTAGTGAGAACACTTCGTAATTTGACTTGGCAAAGAATAAACAACTGATTAGGGGAAGGAAACAAAAAAAAAACACTTTTCTTTTGTTTTTACTTTTAATACATGAAAAAAACGCAACACTCCTGATTTATAAAAACGAGTAATAACTAAATGCATAACAGGAGAAAGAGGATAAACTGATGATGAATCAGTTAAAATACTGATAGTTGTTTGAACTTTTTTTTTTTTCAGAATTAGGAAATGTTAAAGTTATATTTTAAAATGCGACTGAACATAAAAACAACTCAAGAGCAAAATGTACTCCATGAGGATATAAACTCACTAGAAATCCCACAGAGTGTCATGAATTTTAGAGAAATTCTTAACGCAAACAAAAGTTTGTATTTGCATGACTGCTTTCTGTTTGACCAAATTTTTCCTTCGCTCAGACTTACGTATGCAGGGCCGCAGAGGGGACTTGCCCTGCTTGTATCCCAGAGCGCAGCGGTTACACCTGAGGCCGGTCACTCCTTCTCGACACAGACACTGACCCGACGTTTGGTTGCACCAGCGGCCCACGGCTCCCAGAGGATGGCACTGGCATGCTGGATCAGGAAATAACAAAATACCAAAAGTCTTGATTTCAGGAATTAAGAAAAGAAAAAAAAAAAACATCACGTTTCTTCATTTATCCAATGTTTTGTTTGTTTTCGAGGGAACGATGTGTACGTGCTCATATTGTCATTTGCAGTTTTGAGCTCCTAAAATATGTTTTGTTTCTTACACAGTTAAAATCAGGATGTACTTTTTCCCCTCAATTAGCAACATAAAGTTTGTCATTAAAAACGCACCAAACCCAGACGTCTGTAACTGTTATCAAGCTTACTAAGTGCTGCAGCTGACAAAGAAAGGGAGACCAGCAGTTTCATTGACAACACTGCATTTACAAGCCGAAGACGCAAGATGAGTTTAATATTAGTGAAGTAAATGAAGTTAATTTAAGCAATTCATGTAAGTGTTATATTTAAGTCCTAATGTTCTTCTGTTATATTACAAGAAGCAGGACAGCAAAAAAAATTACATTTTTCATATTAAGTACTTAAATATTACAATTAAATTCAGTAGGTTCTTATTAAAAATGTTTTCTTCTTATATTTATGGATTAAAAAACTGTATCAAAACTGTATCAAAGCACATTATGGCTGCAGTGATCAATACGAGAATCTCTAACTGGGCTACGGCTTGAAACTGCATTTACTTGGTCTCTTATTTGCACTAACAGAAGAAGGAAAAACAAGCCAGATTAATTGAATTGTTAAGCCAGAACAATTAGCCGAAGAATGAAGAAGAAGCATCTCCTAGCATATCTTCATGGTGTGTCTTAAAAGGTTTTTTTAGAAAGACAAAGGCAGACAGAACCCGTCCCAAAGTGGACAACTAGTCAGTGGTTTAATCCCAAATGACAGCAGGCATCTGTCCTAAACGTGCGTCCTTGAGTGAGACAAAGCACGTCCCCGGGAGACCGGCGAATCTATTTCGTAGCCGTCTCGACGGCTAACAAAGACAAATTCCTCCTTGAAGGGTAACAAGAAAATAACAAATCCTGACACAGTATCCCGTACCGCTCCGGCGCTTTTTTGAGAGGATGAACAACCTTCGTCTAAATGAAGACAAATGCTGTGCCCTAACTCATCCATTTCCTTTAGGAAGGGTTGTGAAGCAGCGCTTGTTATTACTGCTCAGTTTACATAGCAAAGCTTTTCTTTTTTTCATTTTTCATTTAGCGTTTCAATCACGGGACTAAATGAGAGAGGACAGATGGAAAAAGGAAGCTGCTCTTCAGCACACTCGAGTGTTGTTTACGCAAAAACTTGTAATGGTTCCTAACAGCCAGACTGGAGAAAATAAAGAATAATGTCCCCACTCGCTTCAGAATGGCAGTGATTTAAAGCTTCAATTAGGCAGTGCTGAGATATAATTTGAATTTGCTGGTCTGAACAAAAAAGTGGTGAGATATAAGCTTATTTAACCCTTTCGTGTCGAGACTAGAGGAACTATTAACGTTGGACATATTAGGCTGCTGATCAAGGCTCCATGTGAGCGCACCAAGGTCAGCTGTGACCGGTCAAAGGTCAGCAGTCGTGGCGTTTGCCAGCCAGTGGTAACAATGAGGATACATGTGTGTCTCCACCGCTAACACAACGCTGACCGTGTAAACAGAAGCAGCGACGCAGGGCAACAGTTCAGAGCGCATTGAGTGGAAACAACAAGTCTCCACATTCCTGTTAAATTGCCAGGTTTTTGTTATGTGGAACACCGAGTTCATAGCAAATCAATTCAAGCGACATAAATCCTGGAAATCTTTCAGCTCAGCTCTTTGGCAGCTTGATTGTTGCCAAATCTCACAACAAATGCCATGATCCAGCGGGAAACCAAAGCAGCAGGACGGATCTTATTGTCTAAAAGGTATCAGTCAGGAAAAGGGTTCTAAATCATTCACAGGGAACATTGCTTATGAACATTTAACCAGATGTTTCTGCAAAAGTAACGTAAAGACATGAAGAAAGTTTATCAGGGAAGCAGCAAAGAGAAGCAAAGCAGCATTTAAGGAGCTGCAGGAATTTTTTTTTCAGATTTTAAACTGTTTTAATTTATGCTTGTGATAGAAAACGAGAAACATATCTCTCAGTTTAAAGCATTTTTTTATTAAAAAATGTAACTTGACGCCTGCATATCGATGATTTATCTGTGAGTTTTGTCATCACCTTAACTTTTATCACCATCTGATCATTTTAATTCAGATTTGAGGGTTTCTGGCTAAATCGGATGGATCTGAAGAAAAACGTAAGTAAAATTAAAAAGTTACTTCAAACCTAAATTTCCCAAGTGTATACATAATTTCGGGCTTAACTGTAAATTCCTCCAAAACGTTTGATAAGTTTGATCAAACTCTGCAGTATTTGTTTAAGCCTTTCCTCTAATACAAAACCACATTGTTTTATATATATCTTTATTTTCCACCTTAAAAGATTGAATTAAATTGAGCTTAAATTGATATGTCAAATCAAACATGGACGAAGTTCTGAAATGATGTATGATGGTCTCGTTTATGTCATTTTTGCCCTTTCTGCCCCATTGCCCCCTTCACACAAAGGGCAATCACAGAAACCCGTCTCAGTGACTGACGTTGGCAGGCCTTGCGGTGGTCGAGCGGCTTGCTGGTGTCGCGGGTGAAGCCGTTCTGGCAGTACTGGCAGTGGCGCCCGGCCGTGTGGTGGCGACACTTCAGGCACACGCCTCCGCTCTTCCTGCCCGACTGCTGGAACACCTCCATGCTGAAGCGGCATTTGTTTGAGTGGCCATTACACTCACAGGCTGGACAAAAACGAGAAAGAATCACTGTTTAAATCACCAAGATAAGGAGCAATTTTGACATTATATCAAGAAAAAATCAAAACATGCTTTAACAAATCCTCCATAGCTTGATAGCTGCACAAAGCCGAATATGGTGGCCAACTAAGCGGTTAGCTAATAGCCCCACACCACCAGGGGGCCCCCAAGAGTACTACAGCTGCAGTTGACTCTTATTTACAAATTTATATTTTCATTTTTGTGTGTCACATCAGTAGGGATTTGCTAGACAAAATGTGCTGATCCTTTGCAGAAGTGTGCAACTCAAATCTTCAATCTATTTCTCTAAGATTTGACATGACAAACAAACTCAAATGAGTTCTGAACATTATAACTCATTTGTTAAATGAGTTACGTTACCTTCATTGTTAAAGGTGTGAGCTTTTAACAATGAACCTGAACCATGCACACACCCTCGTGACAACTGTGGGGAAAAACCACCTGAAAAAGACTTGAGAACTGAACGGCCACTCAGATAGGAAGAAGCCAATAACCCCAAAGCAACATAAAGGGACAGATAACAGTTCATTAACATGATCAGAGACAAAAACCTTCATTTTTAAACCATGTCATGTGGTGTGAGAAAGTAAACTGGGAGAGTCTGATCGAAATCACCCTGGTTACATTTGAAAGGAAAAATGGGGAAAGTTACAAGCCTAAGAAAACTTTCCTTGAGGATTCAGAATGAAGTAATGTGGTCACTCAGCTGTGGGAGGGGCTGGTGTATTTCAAACCATTATGTGGTAATCCTGAGAGTAAATGTGTCTTCTTAAAGTGCAATGAAGTGTCTCAAGAACAACAAGGTCAATGTTTTTGAGTGGTCATCTCCTGGTTTTGATTTCAGTCCCGTAGATAATTTCTAAAGGTGTGTTTGAGCAAGACGACCTTGCAGCTGACTCTCTCAAGAATGGGACAAGATTCCTGCAAATTATTTGTGGAAGACATCTGGTAAGGGACCCAATAACTTTGGAGTGAGTCACACAGACTAAAATGTAGTTCTGTCAAATACTAAGAATATTTTTGGCAATTATAACTAACTTAAAAACAGGACACATTTAGTCTGATTTAATGTCAGGCAGAGAGAAAAAAACCAAGATTATGTCTTTCGATGCAGTTTAAGTAAACAACTGGTTTCATCAGAAAAACGGGTTTTCTTCATTCGAAGAAAAAACAGTTATAATAGAGGTACTGACTGCAATCATTTGAACAAAGAAAGAAATTTATCACTTAAATTAATATTAAAAATGTGTATTTTTGTAATGCTTTAAATGGGCTAAAATAATTTCTCATGTGTGTCCAACAACAACAAAAAGATCTAAAATGGAAGATTTTCTAAATGTTTTTAGTGAAATGTTTTCACCAGTCTGGAAAACAGATGTTAGAAAAAAAAAAACAATCCTGAAATAATCAAAGAACAAGAACAGAGTTTCTGTGTGGTCAGCGTTTCCATCTGGTTCCATTAATGCATGCAGTGTATTAATGCATGCTGTGTATTAATGCATGCAGTGTATTAATGCATGCAGTGTATTAATGCATGCTGTGTATTAATGCATGCTGTGTATTAATGCATGCTGTGTATTAATGCATGCTGTGTATTAATGCAGGCCTTCATTTAGCGAGACTCACCAACGCAGGGGTTTGGGTGAGTGGGTGTCGCGCGATGCCACGGCCTATCAACATAGAAATCCTCACACATGTCACAGTCTGGGCCCGCCGTGTGATGCTCGCAGACACACACTGCCTGACCTGCGTCGTCACGGCGACACCTGGAAGCGTGTCCGTTGCATTTGCACCTCCCTCCGACTTGCAGGTCGGAAATGGCCAGAGGAGCTCGGACAGGAAGTATCAAGCCAGAGGGCTGGGAAGTCCTCAAGTTCTGTTTTGTGTTGGGGTTGTTGTTCCTCCTCTTCCTCAGTTCCCGGCCACCGTTCGTCCTGCTCCGCCCTTCGACCGTCCAAGTGCAGTCTCCGTTTGAGCAAGGGACCCAAAAATTGTCTTCCTTGTTGCGATTTCGCTTTCTGGTTTTGCCACCTTTCTTTGGCGAAGCGAGAAAGTCGCTGGTGCCAAAAGCGTCTTCTCCTTCCTTGCTGGTCACATTGTGGCCATCTTGGCCGTGACCAGAACCTTTGCGATGGTCCTTCCGACGCTGCTTGTCTATCCACTCCTCTTTATTCCTCCTACTGATCTCCGAGTTTTTTCTTTTGGCCTTGTCAAAAAAAGCCAGTGTATTGTCTCTTAATTTGTCCACCTGATCTCCAGTGTCACTCTTTGTATCCAATCTCCACTTGAGAATCCCAGTTCGTTTGGTGTCATGGAGGCCGTCACGCCACTGGGTTTCCTCCATTTTTTCCGTAGCCTTGACATTGTTGGAAGTTCTGTGGAAGACAACCCGGATGTCCGTGGCCGTGACCCAGTCCTGGAGGGTGGGGCTGTAATCAAAATCAGGAGAAGACGGGCGACCATCCAGAGTGGAGAAGGCGAGGACTGTGCTTCCCCGCTGCCTCTGCAGGGGCCGGGGGTCCGAACAGAGCGGCTCTGTCTCTTGGTGTCTCGTTCGGGCGATGGTCAATGAGGGTTGTTTGAAGTCCTCCAGACAGTTGCTGGAGTAGTGCTGCATTGGCCGCCAGGTACGCCCGTGGTCCATGGACTTAAGGATGGAGATGGACATGGGGTCAGACGGCTGTCCTTGGCTGCAGAACTGCAGGCTGATGTAGGTGATCTCAAAGCGGCGGCCCAGAGGTAAAGTGAAGACCCAGTCGCCAGAGTCGGCTCCTGCGCGAGCCCTCCAGCAGGTCAGGTTGTGCGGGTTGTGCAGGTCCGTTAGGGTGGTGATGTTGGGGGTGTTATCGGGCCCATGTAGGGAGTGGGTGACATCGACTTGGACTCCGTACGCGGCATTGATGAACTCCGACAGGCAGTGTCGAGGACGGCCATCTGGGTGATAGCAGGGCTCGTGAGGCGAGGTCCAGCTCAGCGGGGCGTTGGAGAAGGAAGAGGAGATGAGAGACGGAGGGAGGAGGACGAGTCGGAGGAGAACAGGAATGAGGGAGATGGAGGGGGGAAGGGAAGAGGGTCGGACCATCATGTCATCGAGCCTGAGGGAGAAGAAAGAGAACATTTTTAAAGGAAATTCATGAGCAATGTGGAGGAAAAGAGAGACAATCTGATTGATTTACATTGGCATTTGAAGCATGAGAACGAAATCTAAGATAGACGACCACCTGTGTCTTCATTGAAAACACATGCCGCCGCCACTTGCACCTTACGTGCTTTCTGCAGATCCCGGTGAAGAACTCATCACATAAAAACGTGACCTGGATCATCACAGTGGTGTCGCCACCACTTCAAACCCGTAATCTTGACAACCTTTAGGAACGCATCCATCTTAAAACTCCCTCAAAGTCAAAGGGAGCACAGGGAACGGGTTGAAGGGAGCACACACCCGTGAGGTATGTCTGTAATGACAAAAAACATGCCCGACAGCTGGAGCTAAACCCTGCGCTGGCCCACATCCATCACATTTATTGCTCTCTTTTCAAGCCGTTTTACCCTTGGTTGGCTCTGCAGGCTCGGAGAGGCCCGAGCGCGAGCAGCGGGCGCTGTCACGGTGCAGAGCAGAGCACATGAGAAAACGGAGGAAAGGCTGAAGAAGGGAGGGAGGAAGAGGAGCCGGAGATTTGTTCCTGGGTTGGTTGGAAGTGATTTATGGCCTGAAAGGCACGTTTGACTTGAGCCCTGCTTTTGCTACTTCCGTGGTGGAAAACAAACACGGACTTGTGTCTGTCCAGAGTGTGAACAAATCCCTTCCTATTGCTTACAACTGGTGATAACTGTAAATTACTCTTCTGTCAAAATTTGACGGCGGAGCCAAAACGGACTAAACAATCTGTCTGCTTCACTCCAAAGTATTTACTGTAATGCTTTTCCACATCTGGTGAACCTACAGTCAGAAAATCAATGCATTTTTTTTTGTTTTGAAATAAACTGTTCCTTTTTTTTTCCATCGACCCCTTTCCGATCTAATCTCGGAATAAGTCCAGCTGTTCTGTCAACACCGAGGTCAGAAAGAAAGTTGTGGAGATGCTTAAAAGCGTAAAAGGTTATAAAGCAAACAATCTCTGAACATTTCACAGAGAGACGGTAAATCTCCTCCAGATTTACCATCCCATGATAAATCTGGAGGAGCTGCAACGATCCCTAGCATCCATGGGAGAATTTGTCCTCGCCTAAATGTCAATTATCACAAGATGAATTATTTTATTTTGCCTTTATTCACACATGGAAGAAGCTAATTGATATAAAAAATATAAAATTTTTCAAAGGGACGAAGAGAGGCAAGAGCATTAACGGTTTCAAAAATTCAATGAATTTTCATTTTCAGTTTTCCAGAGGTCACAGGAAAGACGCCTCACTCCTCTTTTATGGGAGAAAACGGTCTAGACGGGTAGTGGCTACATTGTGCTGCAGGAATTTAGCAGGGAGAGAAAAAATATTTCAATTGTGGGGAGAAATGTCTGCAAAAAGTCAAATTCCAAGAAGATATCAGTGTCAATTTTCTTGTTTTAATTAAACTGCGTCTTGTTTTCTTCTTACTTTATAACAATGTGTTATTTTCTGAGGTTAATCACAGAAAATTCTACAAAATAACAATGACAATAAAATAAAAAATAAAAAACAGCGTGAATACTTTCCAGACTCTCTATCAAACATAATATATCCTCCTGCTTTGTGTATTTTCTCTCCAGACTCTTTTTGCCATTTCCTTTCCCGTCTCTGTCCTGTCACCTGCCCCCTTCGTTCTGTTCTGGGAATATTCTTAACTGCTGTGAGATTGATGGCGTCTTAACAAGCATTTGACACTGACAGCAAAGTCAGCAGGGCAGCATAAACCAAACCTGTAGGAGAGAACGGGGAGGAGTGGGGGGGACGGAGAGCCTCTCTGGCCTCGTCGTCCCGCTCAATTAGCAAACGGCCGAAACCCGAGGCTTTCCTGGGAGACCACACAGCTCCGAGGGGCCTGTGCCCTCCAAACTCCTGCGCCCCTCGCCTCCCGAAAGGCGGGCGGCCAGCTAAATCTGGGAGAGGAGTGAAGTTTTGTGCTGTGGATTGTGCGGAAAACACGCGGCGATGAGAGGTCTGACTGTGACCCCGGTTCCAAAGAGCCACATTCCTGATGTCCAGGATGCCTCAGCCAGCCATTCCTGGCGTGTCGAGACATGCCCCAGGGGCAACATGAACGCTCCGATAAGAAGCTGGACTTATAAGTTGTTGGTTGATTAATTAGCTCTCTGGTATCATTTGGTGTTGGTACCACGACACATAAAAAAATAATAGAGGGGAATGAATGTAGGGAAAAGGTTACTGCAGGATTCAATCAGGAGGGCGACGATACATGACAAGAGTCCCGTTTGTCTTTGTCATTTTAAACCACCAAAACAAGGGCTTAATCCAGATTTTCTCCTCTCCCAAAACTACATCATCTAACATAATCCGCTTGATGTTGGACTTTTTTTTATCAAGAGAAAAAAAGTCCAACAAAAGACATACAGCGTTCCCTACTAAAACGCCACTTAGGCAAAATATCATCCATCCAAAATCGGATATAAAACACTCAAACATCTTCCTGAAACACAAACATGGACACTTTCATCTGGCTGCACATGAAACGGAGAGTTTTGAAGTGTCCCGGCCGGCAGTAACACATCTTGCAGAAAGCTCAAACAGTCAAATAGTGGTGTGATGAGATCAACCGCGTCTCCGGCGGGTGATCTGTGGAGGCAGCTATATGCTTGGCCAGCGAGGGGCCGGAAAAATACTCGCTGACAACCTGGGGGCATGTTTACGGCACGGCCCGACAGATGAGGGCGAAGGAGGGCGACGGGTCTGGAGTCCTCGTTGGTTACTAAATGTTCTTTTTGCTGCTCATGAAGCAGACGTGTGTGAAGCAAGTATTGAGCAAACACTCAATACTTGGATAATATTAGGATAATTTTATTATTATCCTAATAATAAAAATATTAGGATAATTTCATATGTTCTTTTCTCTTGTTTTTGGTCAAAACCTTTTTCAAATTTACTATTGTTTTTTTTTTTCAAATTATTGCAGGATTAACTAAAGAAATTAGTTCATTAGAAACTAATGAACGCTGTTAATTCACTGAATTCAGCACCTTGCAAAAAGTATTAATAAATGTTGGATTTAAAAAAAAAACATCTCACATCATAACCCCGATCTAATCCCAAAGTGTCAGGAAAAAGCTTTTGCTTTTTGAATGTTTTGAATCAACTTCTATCACTGTGTTTATACCTGCAGGCCTTTCGGTGGATATCTCTACATCTAGAGAGTGAAAGGAATCCCTCCACAGCTCCGGTGGGAAACAGGCTCTCGTTTGGGAGCAGGTCTGGACTTTGACTGAGCCGGTCTAGTATGCTTCGATGAAAGCCTTCGTTCTCGCTCTGCCTGTGTGTTTGGGGTCAGCCCTCTGCTAGAAGGCCGTGATCTAATCTGTCCAGGATCATTTCTGTAAGTACGCGTTGGACTATCAGACGCAATCCTTGCCACTTAAATTAAGCTGAGGTAGAAAAGGCAGATCTTAACTTGAAAGTGGAGGAAATATTTCCGTCGCCCTGTAACTCCAGAGTTACTCTCATCCTCCTGGTGTCAAATGTTCTCTCTACACCGGGTCAGGCTGGTGTGTGGCATTCTGTGTTTTTTTTTTTTTTACCTGCTAAACAGATGAGGACCTGTCCACACTCGGGCGCAGCGGGCCTGACGTGCGTGACTCGTGTTCTGCTCGGCAGATGAGCTGGATTTGGCCGGTCTAACACATTTTAACATTCCTCGTCATGGACAGCAGCAGCAGCAGGAGCAACAGCAGCAGCAGCAGCGGCCCTCTCTGTTCACACCGAAGCCAACTCAAGCTGCTCTCCTTCCACGGTTTGGATTTCTCCGGACTAAATGATCTAAATGAGCTCGGCTTAATGGGGCAGAGGATCTGCAGAAGGGCTTTTTTGTTGTTGTTGTTTGTTTTTTTACATTGCAGCTCCACTCCCCAGAGGGGGGAGCCTTTCATGGATAAATACCATCATCTCCTTCAGGCTCTCTGTCTCTCGTTTGAAGCTGCACCTGTTGGCCCATGTTCCCACACTGACACCTATTGTTAATTTCGCAATTGTTCTGAGCCGGGGTCAGAAATCCAACGCGAAGCGCAGCGGAGCAGGTTCCTTGTTTTAGGTGCAGTGACCTAAATTTAGAGCAGATTAGCCTAAAAGACTCAAACCACCACTTGGTGCAACTTGGGGGCCCTCCTCCCACCATCACACCAGTGGCTGCACTGACCCACGCTGGAGCTTTGCTTCCTTTGCTTCTTTCTACTTTTTTTTTGTTTTTGACTAAAAAAAACACATGTTGATATTTAAAGACAACTTTCCCTGCAACCCCCTAGCGCCACTTTCGCCTCCTCTGTTCTTCTTTACGCGAGTTGGCAGGGAGGCTCTGCGGGCCTCCAGCTCCACGCGATGAGACCGAGAAACAGATGGAGATGAAATCACTGTGATTTCCACGTGGCAGCGGGAGCCAAAGACAAACTCCGTGGGCGAATGATTGAACAATAACTAAAAGCTCGCGGTCGTCATTTCTGCGTCGCTGCAGCTGGTGATCGGAGTCAGAGACGATGGCGGGGTGTCTGCGGCTGTCGTTGGGAATTTAGAAAAAAAAATAAATTAATTCAATAAACAAAATGAAATAAAGCAGCCAATCAGTCGCTAATTTATGTTCACAGAAAAAGAAGGGGGAAAGGAAAACAAAACCGGGCGGACGCGCTTAGTTTTGATTCCCGGCGCCGAACAAACATGGTAAAAGTTTGGGTTTCCCGTGGAAACGAGGGGGCACTAATGAGAAAACAGCCTGAGGAGGGAGGGGGGAGGAGGGGGAGGGAGAGGGGGAGGGGGAGGGGGAGGTGGAGGGGGGGGGGATTGAACGCGGTTCGTCAGAAGTTGAATGCTCGTCGTGTTTCGTCAGGATCGCTTTGGCAGCGGCTGAGAGAGACGCTCCCAATTTCTGCGCTAATTGCGCAGAAATTGGCTGCAGCCAATTAGTTTTTCGTGGGGGAGAGAAAGAATAATATTTGCTCAGCGGGGCCGAGTCAGGTCGATCAAACAGCTGGAATCACGTGCTCGGTTTTTTGCTTTGATTTGTTTTGTTTTGTTTGTTTTTTTCAGAATTTGTTGGACGAATTTTGGGGGGCAATTAAACCGGGGTTGGTGGGGTGGGAGGGGGGGGGCAGCAGGCTTATTAAATGTAATTATCTTATTTTCTTTTCATCTTGCAGTAATGAATAATTATTAAAAATAATAATAATTAAATGTGATAAATCCAAACCGCTTTTTAAAAAAAATACATAGCCCAGAAAACACATGCATGATTACTTGCATGCATGTAATTATGGCTCTTGCATAAAAAAATGCATATAGACCTATATATATTTTTAGAATGAGCTAAATAAAAGTTAATATATAATCATATTAATAATGACTATTATTGCTTGTATAAAAATAATAACAATAATTAAAGCAAATTTGTGGAAAATAAGGCATTTTCCCAGCTAAATCATTTATCAAGATTATGGTAGCTAACCGAACAACAAACTTAAGGGCGACATACGGAAAAACAACAACAACAACAACAACAACCAGTCCGCGTCTCGTTTTCCGAAAGACTCGCCGCACGTGCGCTCCTTCATCCGCCGAGTCGCTCCAGCGGAGAGAGACGCCGACCAACACTTTCAAATCCATCACATCGTCAAGTCAAAAGAAAGAAACGGACCGAGAAGCTCACCATGTGCGTCCCAGCTCTTTTTTTTTTTTTTCCTATCCTTCCTTCTCCCTCTGCTCCAGCGGCGCCTCCTGATCACCGAGAGCGGCGCAGCAAAAGTGAGCGCACTTTACAGAAGAGGAGCGCATGGAGAGAGGACAGAGAGGAGAGGGGGGGCACGCCGAGTGTGCGTGGAGGAGGGCAAGGGGTGGAGGGTGGGGGGGCAGTTGGAAATTAACGGGATAAGCTGGGAGGTGTCTCTCCTTACACCAACCGAGCCAAGAGTCTCCACCTCGAGACGCCGCGCCTCAAACTGGCGCACACCAGGACCGAGCGTCCATAAATCTGAACTCGGATCCGAATCAGTGCGGAAGGGGCTTGAATTTTGTGTTGTTGTGCAGCAGCACACACATGCTGCAGGCATCCCCCCCCCACACACACACACACCTCGAAATTCACGTTTACTGCAAAGCTGCTTTCTGAGTTGCGTTTTGTAATAAATCAATTAATGAAACACTTAAGTTTTTTTAATGCGTGAAAGCAGCAGACTCGCCGTCAAAATGAATTTGCGAGGACGTGCAGAAGAATGAAGAGCTTTTCTGAGGAGAAACGTTCAACAATTGCGAATAAACTTGATTTTTTAATTTTCACAAAATAATTCCAGCATAAATGCAAGCCACCATCCAAGATTTCATTGGTAAACTTTAAACATTTGCAAGCGTCTGCCTCGCATTTCACACATTTTTGCCTATTTATTGTTAAGAGGGCGGATATTTTCCCCCTGCATTAATTCATCAGACTTTCCATCTCTCCTGTCACTGGTTCTTCTTTCTAGATTCGTCTGAATCAACGTCAGAATTTCTTTCCCCTCCAAATCAAACAATCCTACAGAGTCTTGGAAAAGTCCTCTTTGAGCTTCATTGCATGTCCTTCTGATCCCTTCGATAGTAATTGTTCATTAAAGTTCATACGCACACATATGCAGACTTGCACAAGCACAAATATTTGCATCATGCATGCAAATAGACCGAAAAGTGTAAGGCAACAGCAACGCCACTGTCAAAAAGAAACAAATACATGAAAGGAAATGAAGGTGTTCTGTAACAACACGCAAAATCAATGTCATTTTTTGGGGAGGTTTATGCGTTAGAACTCAATGTAGTCCATTCTGTTTAATTGTTTTTTTTTTTTTTTTTTTGTATATTTGGCCCCCTTTATTCAGCTGCCCCTAATAGCCTACGAATACAGACGCACGCCACACCTTTCAGATTTGTACGGTAGAAACTGCTGAAAACCATCTGTCAGTTCCTTCCACTTCAAAGCAACGCTCTGTTGGTCTTTCACATAAAATCCCAATAAACTACATGGAAGCTTGTGGTTGCAACGCGAGACGATGCGAGCACTTCTGCAAAGGTTGCATTGTTTAAATATTAGAATGCGCCTATTAAGTTCGTTATAATAGTACAGTAAAAGTGCCAATGCAACATAAATGCTCCAATTATTCTGGTATCTTTGTACTGAACTCTCAGGGTTTATGTTTTTATAGCTTTCTTTTTATTTTGGGATGTGGTGAAATCAGGAAAAGGTTGGGGGGAAAAAATCCCCAACAAAAAAACAAAACAAAAACACCTTGAACATTTTTGATCAGCATTAAAAAAGAAAAAGGTTTTATTTTCCTTGCCTGGCAGCTTCTCCCTTAAAAAAAACGAAACGAAGAAAAACACACACACACACACGCACACACACACACACACCCACGCACCCCCCCCCCCCCCCCCCCCACACACACACACACACACACAAACTTGAAGCTGGGCTCAACGTTTCATTGCTTGTTATGCAATTTTATTTTACACCAAACACATCCTCTTTATTAGCACCTGGCGGGCAAATTCTGGACACGCGGGGAAACTCGGAGCACTGACCGAGCTGACGTCTCGCCCCGCATGCGCTTTGCTCCAATTATCCTCCAGAGAGGCAAAACAAGAGAAAGAGAAAATGTTTGAAGCTAATTGGCTGGCCTGGATGGTTCTCAGATGTGAAACAAAACTGATACAGATGGAAATATAAGAAGAGGAATCGAAGCATGGGGGGGCTGAAGGGCCTTGATTGGGGAGGAGGAAACTTTCCCAGAGAAGGACATAAAACTGATTGATGGCTTCCCTCGGGGAATGTTTCCCCAGGTGTGCAGTGTGTGCGTGCGTGTGCATGTGTGTAGATGTGTGTGTGTGTGTGTGTGTGGGGGGGGGTGCTTACAGTGCACTTAAGAAATGTTTGGACCAGGAACAAGAGCAATAAACTAAATTGAGGGGTGAAATAGCACGTTTTTTGCGTCAATAACGCGCTTTGGCAACATAAATACGGAGACACAAGAGACGTGAGGTGGCTGGCGGTGCTGGTGGAGGTGGATTGGCACGGCTTGATAAAGCCTTTAATAAAGTACACGCTAATTGATAACAGAAGGCCTCAGTAAAAATGATGTAAGGTATTGTTTCACCGCTTTAATCAGACTCTTTGAGGTGGCTGCTGCTGACAGGTGCTTCGCGCTGCCAAACTTCACACCCGCAGGCTCTGAGGTGCTAAGAGACCAAAAAGTAATAATAAACAAAGTACCAGCACGATGTAGTCATAAAATACAGCAATAAACCTCAGTGACAGAACGAGGTTTCTGAACGCGGAGCAGGAACGGGGCCCTGTCGGTCGGAGGTTTGATGAACAATTGAATTCGTTCGTCCAAATGTGAGATTAGTCGACTTCTCCGATCTGTGCAGTCGAGGTCCTGAACAGGCCGGAGCAACAAGCAATCCGGGCCGCTGCCAACCCTTCCTGAACCAGCAGGGGGCCCTCAAGAGCGCCTTGAAATTCCTACAAGGACTATATGGACTTCTAAGAGTCTTCCTCACCCTCCATCTTTGTGAGGCTTTGTCACATAGTAAGTATTTTATGTGATGTTTTAGCGGTGGTGTAAAACATGTGGCTCTGGGTCAGCAGGTGGCTCAAAAGATCTAAATAGGTTTTGTGCATTATTTGGATAATGACAAAAACATACACATTTTTTGTGATTTTTTTTTTGTACCTTTACATCACAAACCACAAACATTTTTTAACATAATTTCTCAGAGATATCAACAATCTATCAAATGAGATGTATTCCTTCTTTTCTGTTCTTATAAAACTTAGACTTTCTTTATTTGAAAACTTCAGGCGACACATAAAATAGTGGTTCTCTCAAAATCTGAACATATTTTCCTATTATGGGTATTCAAGGAAAACAATTTCTCTTTTTTTTTCAAATGGGATGTAAATGCACCATGATGCTGCAATGCTTTTCTTCAGGCACAAAGAGCTTTACACAACTCAGCGGGATTCAGGGTGAGATTTAACAAAGTGCTGTACACTGAAGAAACTTTTATTCTACATACACCTATATTTTCAATCTCACAAATATGAAATAGGGTAGTTGTTTTAATTTCCCCAAACTTTCTCACACAGTAAATGTATTTACTGCTACAAGAACCAAGTCAAATCTGTGTGGCCAGTGGGAAAAGTAAATAAAAAAATGCAGCTTGAGAAACAAAGTTAGATTATTATTATTATTTTTTAAAGAAATCAAGATGTTTCTGTTTCCCTTTTTTCTCCATATATTTTGCCCCATAACAATATTCATTGCATGCATTTAAACATCTGGCATAAAACAAAAGATAAAAGTTTCAGTACAAGCAAAGAGTAAAAAGAGAGTGAAACAAATAAGTTCAGTATAGTTCAGCTAGATCTTTTTAAATCAAATTTTTCACATTATGTCCAAATCAATCTGTCAATGTTTATCATTGCATGTGGATCCACATGCTGCCAGAAAGAAAGACTTAAACAAAATAAAATAAAAATTCTAGACCTAATTTTACCTTTCTGTTTACCGTACGAGGGAGCTGTATCCAGAAAGATAGTGCCTGAGCGCCTCTGGCTGCACAAATCCAAGCTGGCACCGAGAGCAGAGCGGAAAATTATTCCTGTCTGTCATGAGTCCAAGCACAATGTTTTGTTTCTCCAGAGTTTTCTTCACGTTGTGTCTTTGCTGAGTGTTGACAGTTGGAGATGAAGAGCGGGCTGTCGATCTGCAGGCGGAGGAAGACTCACAGAGAAAATGGATTTTCATCACTGTCAGCTCAGAGACGCCGCATTCAAAGCCGGGCCGCAGCTTCTGCTCATGTTGACATGGTTACACAATGTCAAATATTTCTCAGTGTGGGATGTCCTGGCGGATAAAATAAATAAATAAATAAATAAAATGCAGTTCATGGACATCAAACTCCTCCCTGGTTCTCCCATTATGTCCTGTTGCATCTTGTTCATCCGGTATTTAGTAGAAGAAAAGACACGCCAAAAATTAAGTAAGAGCAACAGGGAATGAATTGTCTTTTTGTACAAGTGCTACAGCCTAATGTTGCAGTACAGCTGGCTGAGAGGGGAAGGTAGAAAAGTCACAGCTCCCCTCAGCCACTGCTTCAACCATTCAGTCAGATAAAAGCTCGTCAGGACTCGTGGAGCAGAACCCTGGTCTCAGCATATCCATGGAAACTGTGTTGGATATTAGTGTGATCCAGTCCCATTTCCTCTCTTGTCCATGCGGTACGGCACGCCAGTAGTTTCCGTGCTTCTGTTCACTGTATTTTGTGCAGCTCTAATCAACACAAACAAAAACACCAATTTTCAACTCCAGTCACACATTCTGAATAAGATCTAAGTTTAGACTTTGACTGGACCATTCCAACATATGGATGAATTGATCTGAATAAGTCTGTTGCCTCTCTACTTGTGTGTTTAGAGCCATCCATCCATCTTCTCATCCATCTCTGCAAGAGCTGAATACATGGTCATCGCCACGAGTGTTTGCAAAATCGCAACCCCAAATGATCGCCGAGATGCAATTTTTAGTAGAATATTACATTTCAAGTGCCAGGCCTTCGCTCTTTGCATATTGATAACATATTAGGTTAATTGGACAGACTGAGTACCTCTAATGCCCACACCAGATGCACATGTTCAGCAGCTGAGATGCTTAAACTCATGGAAACTGAATCATAATTTTAGTTGTGCATTGAAATGTGAGCTTATGCATCTTTAAAGTAGTGCCTTTTTATTTCTCACCCACTCAGATGTCATAGTGAACAATTATTCTGTAGCACACACACACACGCACACACACCCCGAGAGTTCAGCACATCAGTAACCTCATAGACATAATAAAGATTGTGATCAGATTGGACCAGATTCAATACAGAAATGTTTTAGCAGCTGCAAAAGCCTGTAATATTCTTTCATAATGTGCGACTTTCTGCATTTAGGTCTCATTTTGCAAACGGGGCTTATCTGTTTTCTTTATCTCGAAATGCTTCACGCTTCCTTTCACTCAGAAATATTTGAGTGAACAATTATCTAAACAAGGTGGATTGCACAGCTGCACAGCTTAGTTGCATGTAAATAATCCTTGAGCGGTCATAAATCTTGCTTCACACACTGACATCTTTTGCTTTTATTACATTTGTAGCTAAATTGCCAGCCAGACACCTTTCAGATGGCAGGACTTTTCCACGATTCAATTTCTTCTCCACTGAATCAAGTCCTGCCGCCGTCGTCTCGCTCTGGGAGAAACGTGATTGGACCCAGAGTTGTTTCTCTGAGCAGCTCTGCAATAAAACGACGTCTTGGTTATCGTCTGCTGTTCACAAGACCTGCACACTGCGACTCAGGAGGAAACCCAACATTTAGCTTTAGTCCGCGCTCTCCGTTGCTCCTCTGCGCCCTCTCGTGGATGAAATAAGCACTGCTGCCCTCGGTCTCCTCTCCGGCTCTCGCACGCATGATGGTCCCCATCTGCTGACCTCCACCTGGAAGCAAAACCAAATGTGTTTTGCATCACAAGGATTTTTTTAAAGAATGACCGTCTAAAATACCAAGCTTTTTTTTCTCTGGGTCCTTCTTAGACAGGGGAACAGCTTCCAGGTAGCAAGTGATGTAAATCTGCAGGGAGGATAGTAGGATGTGCATTTCTTTTCTTTTCTTTTTTTCTTTTTCTATTTTTTTTTAAATCTGTGCAGAAATTGAAATGGTAGAGCATTTAAATTTGGCACTGACAGAGAGTCTCCGGTCCTGATGGAAGAGGAAAGGCTCCAGCTGAATGTGAAGGAGGTCGTCCCGGACCCGGGGCAGGAAGCGAGAGCCGGAGCCGCTCAGCTGGGAGTCTGTGAAACATCTGCAAACAGGCATGTCCTTATCAGACTTAACCCCTGCAGCTCGGACATAACGAGAAGCAGGAAGGGGACGGATCGGCCGTGTAGGAACCGCAGCAGACGTTAAAGATAGCAGGTCTCACTCCTGGTGGTCTATGAAGGGGTATCTTGGGTGTGAGTCAGGAGTCAGGGTGGCCAGGCAGCTGCCTGCGTACAGGCGGAGGGGAGGGTGATGGTGGTGGTCTACTGAGGCCAGGATGTTCACCATCTCAATCATGAAGTAAACAGGTGAGTTTCTCTCACAGCTCCAGTCATCTTCATGAGAAAAACCCTCTAATTATTTTAGATTCAACTGATATTTGACTCGCATGTTTAATCTGTGACATGAACTATCAGATTATTGGGAAACCTCCGATTGATTCATATTTTACTTTCATATCTTTTGAATATGATGGCGAAATTCAAGAATTTTTCTCCAGGTTTTCTCAGGACCTCTACCAATATACCCATTTAAATTGAGGCACTTTTTTCACGTTGTAAAATCAATATTCAATGTATTTTTTGGGATTTTACTTGACGGAGCAACAAAATGTAGTGCGCTGTTGTAAAAAGGGATAGAAACAAACAAAATACAATACTCTTTTTTAACATCATACATCAAGAACTCAGTATGGAGAACGGATAATTCTCTACAAACCAAAGAGAAGCCCACAGCATGATACTGCCAGCACGGTGCAAAGTTGCCTGAATATGAAGCTCTGATGAAGACCTATAATGCAGGGAGGTGATTATCATTCATTTGTTCAGATGAGATGAGAAAAGTCTCCGTGGTTCTCGACCTGTCCATGATAAGCAGCAACACACGTGAGTTTTTGGAGCACACCCGTCTTGAGGCTGAGATGACGGGCATCTAGGTTGGCCTCCGGGCTCCGCTGCTCACCGCCTTCCTCCTGTAGTTACAAGAGGAAGACTTCACATGTTGTTATCACAGTTTTATACAGCTGGGAGGAAAATTTAGAGGTGGGTAGGTAAAGAAAGAAAATACCATCACTATTATGTTTTCAGACAGCGTCCAAATCTCTACAGGAACAGAGAATCCAAAATCAGACCACATAAATCTCAGAGAAACAACCAAAAAACTCCTCAGACTCAACAGGTGTCAGTTTTAGTGTTGGATATTAAAAGTTACGATAAGACAAAGACTGAAGTAGCTTATGTCGTTGAGATTGGCTTCCTCTTGAGAAAGCCTGTGCTCTGCAAAAAGAATAACACCTGTAGGTTACATCTGGATAATGTCATTCAGGACAACTGAGACCAAAGTGGACACGTTCGGTCATAATTCACTCGCGTCAGTAATCCAAACAGAGTATATCAGCACAAACATACCATCTGTGAAGCAGTGTGGTGGGCGGCTGGTGATTTGTGGTTTTGAAGCCAGTGGCCCTAAATACCTTAAAGTGAGAGACAAGAATCTGCTCATTGGTCTGCAGAATCCTCGAGATTTCAATGTGAAGCTGATGAAGCTTGGTAGAACTTGGGTTATGCAGAAACAAAGCACTATTGTAAAGAAGTATTTAGTGATACTCTTACAATTATTTTTATTTTATTTTTACCTTAAAAAGTAGCTTTGTACATTTGTAGCATAAGAAAACTGATTATTGCAAGAAATTTTTGAATGGTTAAAAAAAAAAAAACAGAAATTCAAAATTTCAGGAAATTAAACTTTTTTTTTTAGTTAAGTAGAAGCATTAAATAACATTTCCTGTGCTTTCCTGGAACATCAAGGTCACTTTCTTGGAACGCAGCATATTCTCTAGAACCCAGAAACTTTAATTTCTGTTATTCTTTTAAGTAAATAAGTTCTAAAAAAAAAAAGGAGCACCTGTCAATTCCTGGACTTTTACTCCTAAAGTTTGGAAGAGACCTTCTAAGTGTATGCAAAGAGTCTGGCAAGTTTTAAGAAACAACCTCGCACATTCAGAAAAGTAACAGGTGCCAGCACGCACAGCCAGCAGTAACAGTAATCCAGGCCAGGAATTTGATACCATCCCCAGCCGCCACCAGAGAGTTAACTTAAGTCACCAGGACTGAATTAAATTTTAAATGAAGTTGTGCACTTTACCACCGATGGCAGCTTTAAATGCTGTTCTCAGTGCGACTGCACCCAGGCCAACACAATGCTTGGGTGTTGGAGTAACTCCATCAGACACCAACTCCATCTACACATGTTGGAGTCGAATGACTAAAGATAAATGTTCCAAATCTGTCCATTTCTCTTTTTTTTTCCCTTTTTTGGCAAAAAATAAAAAAATGTTGGCATCTGTGTACTTTTTGTCATAACATTTGTGCAGAACCTGGTGTCTATTTTACTGCACTCCTGTGTCAGACATCCTCACAAAAGTATTTATTTTATTATTATTATTTTAATTAAGTGGCCTGAATCAAATCTTTGGTCCCAGAACCTCAGCAGTCGCTGACAGGTAAGCAGAGAAAGTAATGTGTATCACAAAAGCTTTTTTTTTTTTTTTTTGGAAAATAATATTTGGGAACCAGAATTTTTCATTAAAAAATTTGGTAAATTCTGAAAAAGATATTTTGTACTACTTCCGAAATGTTTTTACCTACTGAGTTGTGCAGCTGGGTATAGGTATATAGTCAGTCTATAATGTTTTTTTTTTTTTCTTGAAATATGTCACATGTAAATTCCCCTTGGAGTAGCAGAGGACAAAAAAAAGCAGCTGGTCGAATACAACTTTTCTGCATAAATAATGTTAAATAATGGCTGAATTAAGCGTCCCTTGATGTTTCACCTTTCATACCCACGCAGCACAGGAGCAGCAGCTCCCTCCGCATGTTGCTACAGCAGCGCACCGTCTGCGAACTGCAATGAAAATAAGAGGATGAGAACCAGCAGGGGGCAGCACGGAGCAGCTCCGGTCCGATCCAGCTGGGTGGGGGGAAGGTGGGAAAGTTTCACCCACCGTCACTCTGCTCCCACAGTCAACCAGAGGAGGCCTGATGATGAACTCTCCATCTGCGGAGCGGCTGGCGGCGCAGCAGTCCCGTCCAGAACCAGATGGTCCGAGCCTCAGTCCGACGAGCTGCGCGGGGGAGGGGGGCCTTTGAGGGTTGGGGTCCAACAAGTGAGGAGGTCTCATCATGATCTCCATAGCTGTCCTCCTGACAGCTCAGCTCAGGAGCCTGATAGCTGACCTCTGGGTCAGAGCAAAGGAGAAAAACGGGCTCGGTTTGATGCGTGTATCTCAGAAAATGGGCCCAAAAGATGAGATACGCAGCAAGACGAGGCATTGTTTGGCTCTCTGATGCCGTCTGTCTGCAGGAGCCACACAGCTGAGTCTAATCAGAACTGATCCAATGATGAGTTTAAAGACATCCCATAAGCGGTTTATGTTGTTAAAAAAGTTTATTTCAAATGTATAAAACTGTACATGGGGCAATATGAAGTGGAAACGCTGTTATGATGCAAATAATATATAAGGTGTCATGTTGCAACATGCAGATTGTCCAACTGCAAACACAATAACGCACTTCCTATGTGCATGATTTCTGAGTTTGTCCTCCGAGATGCAGCTGAGGTGTGGCGTTGTCTTCACGTTCATCCAAAGGTTTTCCCTCAAAGTTCTCCGGCATCGTGTGTCGTTTCCTCTTCATCTGCTTTCTCTTCTTCCTCGGCTCCTCCTTTAAGACCCGCGTCGCCTTTCCACACCTCCTCAAGACAGTCTGGATAAAAGAAACCGCACGATTTAGGAGGAGCTTAATGACAAAATGCATGGATTAGACAACTTAGACTTTTGATTTAAATAAGTATTATTTCCTGTTTAAATCAGTTTCTTAATGGCTTCCTATCCCCTTGTGAGCATCAGAATTTTAAACAACTACGTCTCCGTTCCCGTCCCACCTCGCTCTGACGTCTTCAGGACGTGGTTCTCGCAGAGGAAGTTCTCCAGCCTCCGGTCCTGATGGTGGAAGTACCATTCCTCCACCACGTCCTCGTATTGCTCCAGCATCGTCTCGCACTGATCGCACAAAACACACGTTGTTTTGACAATCGATTACCTTTATTCAGAACCTCAGCTTCAGAACGGTCGGGAAGGGGAGTGTTCTCTGTCTTACCTGTTTTTTCATATTTGTCACCTCCGCAGACGGCTCGTCCCAGAGCTCATACGGCATGCCCAGGTCTACTTTCACTCCTTTGTTGACCAGATTCTTCAGCGTCGTCATGGTCTGACTGGAGCCCTGCGGTCAACGTTAAACACAAGACGATACACCACATGCTTAGGCAGAGAGGGATTACTCAATTTAGGGTTGGAGAAGGTGGAAAATAATCCAAACTTTCACGAAGCTTTGAAGAAATGCATTCAGCACAACGAGGCATTCGCTACCTTGGCGTATCTGAGGCTGCCAGGCCTCTCGGCGTGAACACTGTACTGCAGGATGCGCTCGCATATGTTGTCCACCGCCTCGGTCAGACGAGTTTCTCTGAAATGAACCAGGAAAGAGTCAATGCCGACTTCTAACAAACAAACGTAGACATAAAGATCTTTGCTAAACGTCAAACACAAACTCTCTACAAAGAAAACACTAGTATGATCTCAAGCAGAAAACACACGAGATGCCACAAAGCCAAATGGTTTGTACAAAAAACCTAAATGTAATATTGTACTTGAACCTGAGATTTTTTACAACCATGACAAATATAATAATCAGCTCACAAAAACTTTTAAAACATGACTAGAAGAAAGGGATTATTGTTAATGTAGGGCAAGTGAAAAACATATTTATATCTATATATCTACATATATATATATATAGAAAGAGAATTTTATAGATAGATAGACTGCTGATCTCTTTCTATCCTGGCATTGAGTTAAAACTCAAGGATATTATGAAAGATGTGCCTTACGAGGTGTTGTATTTAATCTTCCTCCTCCTCTTGCCCGTGTCCAGCACCTCTCCAACCTCCAGAACCTCTTTAGAGCGACCAGTTTTCTCCAGAGCCTCCTGCAGCTCCATCGTTAGGAACTTACAAACTAACACAAACAAACAACCCAACATTAACCCCTTTAATCCCACCGGCAATAATTGTTGCCGCTAGCATTAATACAGACACCACTATGCTGCGTGTCCATAGCTCTGCTGTTTATTCTATATGCCTTGCTGTTCCCACGCAGCTTCAAACTATAAGATGTTTTAGATTTTCTAAGCCTGAAGAAACCTCAAAACGATGTCTTCAGTTGAAACCCTCCCCTATTTTCACTCCCCCCTCCAAAAGGTGATCCTTTCCACAGTGGGTGGAAAAGACACTGTGTGTCACAAGATGACGCCTCAAACTGGTTTACAGGGCTAAGATGTACTGGTTGGTCTGGTGGAACAGGGAGAATTTCCTCCCAGACGCAGATTTGTTCTTACTAACATTTTCACCTGAATTTGCCTCACTGATGAAATGAGTAAATGAGGTCAAAGGTCACTAGGCCCAATCTTTGTGTATCTAAAATATTTCTGAACACACTTGTAACCATTCTGTGTCATCATAGGTTATGTCATAATTTTTTTTTTGTTATATGTATGTATGTGTAGTTTAGACTGTGCAGTTTCCCACCGGGTATGAAAGCCTACATTTTCACTAACATAACCCACATAAAATGTAATAATAACTCCTAAATAGCATGTGTTAGGGAGGCCCGAGGATGGAAAACGCATGCACTTATTTTGAGAAGAATAACTGGGATCAAAGGGGTTAATGACTGCCTCGCGAAGAGAACAGAAAAGTTGCAGCAAACACGACTCCTGAGTCTTTCTGTCGTCAAACCTTCGCATTTATTGGGCAGTCTCTCGTCTTCACTCCCGGCAGCGAAGCCGCAGACACAGACGGCAGCCAGAATGATCGCTTTCATTCTGAATTTGTGCTTGAAACGGAGAGAGTTGCGCTTTTAGCGTCACCTCAGCCACATCGGCGTCGGGTTTCTGCATGCGCATGCGCGCTGCATCGGCGCAGACACGACCAATCGATTGCTGGTGACTCGATGGCAGGCTGAGAAAGAGAAGAGAGGAATCAGGGATGTGTTCAAATAAAGTGTTAAAAAATTTACATATCGAGGACAGATAGGTCTAGTAAAGTGAGATACAAGAAAATATATTAAAACGCAAAATAACAGATTTTTGCTTGTGTCTTGATGGTTTTATTATTTATGAAATGCATTTTTTTATGATCTCTTTCACACTCACTACTGTTGAAGGAAAGGCATGTTAAAACCCGATTACCATTTGCTGCAGAAGCTCTGGGCAATCCAGTGAAATACTAGGAGAATATATTCTGGTCAAATGAGCCCAAGCCCAAACTCTTTAGACATTGAACGCACCATCTTTGGAGGAGGGCGCGCGCATGAAAAGAACCCCCAGCACCTTCAAGATTTGAGGTTTTATTTGTGTGGAAGAATGGGTCAAAATCCCATCTGAGAAGTTTAATGACTAGCTTCTCAATACAGGAGAAGTTGATTATCAAAAAGGCTTTCCCAGCACTAATTGTGTTTTATTTTCTTTTGCATGTGTGCATTTCTTTGGATGTAAACATAATGATTGGGAAAATTTTTATGTCAATCACTTCTTTAGCAATACTTAAACTAAGAAAAACACAATTCTTAGTTCACATCCTGTTTTAGACATCAGTACAGGAACAGATTAAAGGCGCAAAATTGCCTCCTACCATCGGATCAAATGTCTACTTGATGTCTATTTATTGTAATTTTTAAAGCAGCTGTCAGCGTTCCCATTTTTCCCCTTGAAGTGTTTCTCCAAATACACCCATCCCAAAATTAGAACCAGCTCCCAGGCCTAATTTAGCTCCTTCAGAGCCGTTTGCTGCACTCAGCTTCCACATTGTATATGTTGGGTCTAATCAATGTGACATTTGGCAGTGAAGCAGTTAAAGGAGAAGGTGTCAGCCTCTTGGTTTCCCAGGTGACATTCGCAGCACGATCAACAGCAACCGATCCTCCAGGAGAGCGTGAGGAAGAGGAAGGAAAACCTGACGGCAGAAGGGGGACCTGGAGTTTGCAAACCATGTTGAGATGAGGACTGAATGGAAGACACATCACAAACCAGGACAAGAAGGAAGCGTAGGATCGGCCACCTGACAGCCCGCTGGAAGAAGCAGTAAGTAAGACGCTCAAACTCTTAGAAAACACCCTTGTTCGTGCTGGAGCATGGAAGTTTATGTGCAGATGTATGAGGCTAAAGTGTCAAAAGCTGCATGACCAGTAGATTTTACTGGTGTGAGGTTATTCCCAGCTGTAACTGTGTATTATGTCACCTGGCGTGGTGACCATCTGTCTATTGTCTGTGTGGAGGGAGATACAGTTACACAGAAACACAAACACTCAAGTATGGCCCTCAAGCTGTTACATAAACACAGACACGTTTGAAGGATGTGAAACTGTGCACTCCTTTTTTTTTCTTTTGACATTTTATGGACCATAACTTCATTTGTTGTCTTGAGGCGTGAAACGTCCCGGACAGACTTAAAATAGGAAAAAGCAATGTGACTCTTCTCTGCATGTTCTATAATACAAAACATAATAGAACAAAAAAATATAGTTTACAAAATTTCTATTAGAGTCTTTATCTTCCTTAAGCACTCGGTGGAAAGTATTAGAAAAACAAGATGAAGCGATAAAATCCTTCATTATTCAAAAACAGCTTTATATCAGCACTGACATCAAGCTAAAATAAAAGCGTTGACGTAAACTCAGTAATCTTTATGTTATTGGGTGCGTCAAAAATGATCAGGAGATTTTTGGTGGAAATAAGCCGAGACTTTCAAACCCAAGAACTCTGCATTGTGTAACTGTCGGGCACGGCGGTGGCAGCTTTATGCTTTGGGGTAATTACATCTGCTGGTGGTTCATCACACAGACTAGTTAGAATAACACGGACGGAGGGTTGGTGTTTCCAAAGGCAAACCGCTGAGTGGAACTGTCTCATAAAATGACGAGGTTTTGTGTTTTTTGACGGCCCGGCTCTGAGTGAAAGTTTTTGATGAACAGCTCTCGAAGTTTCAGACAAAATGGGAAACATTTATGAGGTTGATTGAAACAAAACTACTTTTCAGGAATTTCTAATATCTGATATCTAATATCTGATAACAGGAGCAGACTGCAATCTAAATAATTATCTGTTTGAATGACAAATGGCTTTAAGATCTTGTATCATTACATGTGATGCGTCAAGCATCTTTTTTTTTTCTCTTTATTTGAGCATTGTCTTTCCATCTCGTTTTAGTCGTTGGATGTGAGAATGCTGGAAGCGGTGAACGACTTTAAGGACCAGAGCTTCGACAAGCTGAGGCGCTCCTGCCTCCGTCGAGGGGCTCTCTTCAAAGACCCTCTGTTCCCCGCCACAAACCAATCCCTCTTCTACAAGAGGGCGCCCCCACCTGGACTGACCTGGAAGAGGCCGCGGGTGAGCTTGCTTTGGAGGAAAAGTGTCCAAATGAAACTGAAAACAATCCTGCCAAAGGCCTATAGTCCTAATTTATGAATCCATCACCTCTGGTCCCTGATCCAAATTGAGGAGGCAACTTCAGTGCGCCGCATTTCAACAAGTGGATTAATTAAAGCGCTTTCTATAATTAGAGAGGTTGTCAGGCAGTGAAACTCTATCCCCGGGAGGAGGAGATGCAGATGGACAGCCATGTTAGTGTCAATAGTTGAGTTCAGAAAAAGCAGCAGTGTGTAAATAGACTGGCTGGTTGTTTTTAGAGCAGTGTTGTGATGCTGGGCCTTCCAGCCGCTGAAGCTGAAAACTGCAGCTACACCAACCGTGTAGATGTGAATAAAAGCAGCCAACTTTGAGGTTTTATAATTTGCGGGTTTATTGGGGAAACGGTTATGTTTTTATGGCGAGGAATGAATGTTTTATTACAGTAGTTAGGGTGTAGCATGTGCTGTAAATGTCATGTTACCTTCTGGTCCTCTCTGGTTTGTGTTATGCTGTTTTGAAAAAGTCTGGAATCGTACTTTATGGTTTTGCAAGTCGGGCTGCACGGTGGAGCGGTTGTTAGAACTTGTAGCAATAAGACCCTGAGTTTGAATCCTGGCCTGGGCGCTTTTGACCTTGAGTTCGGATGTTCCTCCTGTTGATACATTGGTTCTCTACTTATTTTTTTGCTCCCCGCACATGTCCAAAACCATGACTGGTTTGTCAATTGCTCTGTCTACATTGCACTCAGGTATGAGTGTGTGCTTGTGGTTGTTTGTCCTGGGTATCTCTATCTAGGGCGTACCACTCCTCTCTCCACCCGACCCTTAGCAATCCTCCAAGGATGAGCAGGTCGCTACAGATTCTTCATCCTTCGGGAGATGAGGGTCTTAAAGAAGGCAACCGTCGTTCATCTCTTGTTTCTTCAAGATGTTTTACTCCTCAACCAAAAGTTTTCTTCGGTTCTTCGGACTTCGAAGCTGTAGTCATAAAAAAAAAATCACTCTCACTGGGCCCTCAAGGCCAATTTATCCTCCCTTTACGCACGTAAAGAGGTCCACCCAATTCTAACGTCATCAGCCATTACTGTCCTCATACTTTTATGACGTTTATTAAGCTAGCATGGCCGTCGGACACTATATCAACAAGAAGGACGTTCGGACTCAGTTTGGAATCCAAAAGAAAGTTTCAGCTAACAGCAAGCGTGGAGTAAATCATGATAATGTACATTCTCAGAGGAAGACATGAATAATCACTGGAGTAGATGGAGGTGGTCTGTGTTTCCATTAAATACAACCACATGTGGATAGAGAAGTTCCCCCATATTCATCATTTGTCTGGAAAACATCAGGATTTGTTCTATATAAAAAGAAAAAACACATCATATTTTCTGTCCCCTTGAATGAATTGACTAGGACTGATGTGATTTTATTTACTTTTTATCCTAATTTGGTCTTTTGTTCCGTCTCTCATCAATCCAGGAAATTTGCAGGGACCCTCGTTTGTTTGTGGATGGTATCAGCACTCGCGACTTGCACCAAGGCAGTCTGGGTAACTGCTGGATGGTGGCAGCCATTTCCTGCTTGGCATCCGAGCCTTCACTGTGGAAGAAGGTTCTCCTTTCAGACACATTGTCTCATCGGCTCTGTGCCTTGCATTTGCACTTTCCCCTAATCTGACTCATCCCTTGTCTGCACTGCAGGTCATTCCCAACCACATGGATCAGGAGTGGAACCCAAAACGTTCAGACTTGTACGCAGGGATCTTCCATTTCAGATTCTGGCGCTTCGGACATTGGGTCGATGTCGTGGTGGACGACCGTTTGCCGGTCAGTCAAGATGGAGTCCTGCTCTTCTGCCGCTCAGCAACGCCAAGAGAGTTTTGGAGCGCCTTGTTGGAGAAGGCCTACGCCAAGTAAGGAGAAGCAGAAAACTGTGTCCAATGGACAAGTGAAGCATTAATATTCTTTCAAAGCTTGGCAGCTACTTATATTCCCTAAAATAACCCTGTCTACATCCTCGGCAATAGTACAAGGTATCCAGCAAAGGTTCGAAACACTCATTTCCAGAGATCCAGAGTTTCCCAAAAAGAGAACAAAGTCCCGTTTGTGCTGACTTGATGATGATGAAAGGGTAAAAAGGCAAAATGGACACTTTTCAGTCAAAGTTTGTTTCCACTCCTGAACCTGTTGATAAAAATAAAAAAAAATTAAATAGCGATTTATACCAACTGTTTTAGCAAATGAGCATTTGCCAAATCTGCATTTCAGACAAATTATGATCAATAAACAAAAAGTAGTTCATGTTATAACTTGGACAGTGAACATGAATCAAAGCATTTGATCTTGGACCTCATGCACCAGCCCTATTTCTATTGGAGGTACATTTTAAGATAACTGGAGAAACAGACCTAAAACCTATGACCACAATCACAAGAAGTAAGCAGAGAGAAGTCAAGGTGAGGCTTTAAACATAACAATACCCCAGTTCTCACGTACGTCAGTGGCAGAATCATGCTGCGGGGCTCTTTTGCTTCCATCTATGCTGGTGCGTTGGACACAAATACACCTGACCATTAATGCAAAAACTAACAATTTTTTGAGCCCTTATTTAACTGCCTTACAATTGTTTAAATATTATTAAATTCATTTTAGTTTGATTTGTACGTAATTTATAAACAGCTCAAATAAGCTATTGGAACGACCATCTGTTGAACAATCAGGAAGATAAAAGCTGAAAATAATATCAAAATAAATAAAATAAGTAAATACTACATAAAAACAGAAAACCATGAATTCATATAAAAAAATAAAATAATAATTTATTAAAAATATATGTATATAAAGAAGGAAGTAAAAAGCCAGGTCCATGCCAGGAAGCTGTTCTGCAATGAAGTGGGAGAAGATGGGAGAATAAATGTGTGTAAAGGTTTGTGTAATTTTGAGCCTGGATCAGGAAAACTCCCCACAAGACTGAAAGCCCAGAGGCGAGGCCACAAATCTCCTGCAAATGAACTGACTGACATTTAGCATACAGGGATGAACTGAGTGCCACACACGACTCCCTGAGCCGGTTTGTGTTTCGGTGTCAGACTAAACGGCTGCTACGAGGCTTTGGAGGGAGGAAACACCACGGAGGCCCTCATCGACTTCACTGGAGGGGTTTCGGAGCCTCTCAGCCTGGACTGTGAGGCCCTCAGCCTGAGCAGCGAGCGGAGGAGGGCACTCTTCCAGACATTAGCTCAGGTCCATGAGCACAAATCCCTCATCACGTGCTCCATTCGGGTAGGACTTTGTTTTTTTTTCTGTGACCCTCAGGGGCCTCAACGTTTCAGACGTCGCTGGTAAATTACTAAACGTTTCACATTTCTCAGCCAGCTGAGGGGGAGACGGTGGAGTCGGTGTTGGACTGCGGGCTCGTACGAGGACACGCCTATGGCATCACAGCGGTGAGGAAGGTGAGGCTGACGGAGAATCAGCTGAAGGCAGGCGGGACGTCCCAACTCTTTATGGTGCGCATGAGGAACCCGTGGGGGACCACGGACTGGAAAGGAGCCTGGAGTCAGGGGTGAGGGCGCTTTGAAACCTTTCTTCTGACTGCTGGGCGCATTTTACAGGCGCTTTAGGAATAAAGCCTCAGCTGACGATGTAGTTTACAACGTTTTACAATGCCACTGCAACTTTTCTGGACAATTTCAGACATTTTACAACAGTTAGGCAAACGTTTTACAAGGGAACATCTGCCGTGTGCATTACGAAGCTCTGAGAAAACTGAGAAAAATGGCCACAGTGGACCAATGACGCTTTCCAGAAGTTAAAACACTACTTGTTTATTTCTTACACTCTGTCATCTGCTTCACAGTAGAGCTCATCGACAGTGATCACACCTTTTGAACTTTTTCCACACTGTGCTCAAGTGTGCTTTAATGCTTTAAGCTGAATTTTATGTGTTAGCTGATTACGCAGCATTTCCTGTGTCAAATAAAAATCTAAAAAGTGTGGTGTGCATAAATCTATCAAATGGTTTTAAAATCTGCTGGGTTTTTTCCGTCCAACCTATGGAGTTTGAAAATCTATTCAAATCTGCTGACTTCTTGTGCTAGTCTATCACAAAAATGCACTGAAGTTTAAGGTGTCGGTTTGACAAAATATGAATGAATGCGTGAAACCGCCTTTTGTTGCTGTTGCGCGCCCCCTGCAGGTCAGAGCAGTGGCAGCAGCTGAGCCGAGCAGAGCGGGAGAAGATGGGGATTGTTGTTCGTGATGTTGGAGAGTTCTGGCACGCAGCATTTCCATCAAAATCTCTAAATATATCTTCATAATTTTTCCAACCTTCCAAGTGATCTCATGCATATATATAATATATATATATATTATATATATATATATAATATATATATATATATATATATATATATATATATATATATATACATTTTTCTCCAAACAGGATGGACTTCCAGGATTTCTGCTGCTACTTCACAGACGTGGTGGTGTGCCGGCTGGTGCAGAGGAGGCTGCTGTGGCCGAGCTCACACTGGAGAGAGACGCAGAGCTACGGGGAGTGGGCTCCATCTCCGGATGCCCCCGGCACGGCGCCTCTTTCTGCAGGGAAGCGCAGCGGCTCCCCTCAGGCCCTGAGCAACACCCGACCTGAAGGGGAGAAGGTCAGGCAGAGCAGTCAGGAAGGAACGAAAAGGGGAGCGGTCGACGAGGAGATGGACAGGAGGAGTCGCTGTGGGGGCTGCATCAACCACAGGGACAGCTTTCTGCACAATCCACAGGTACGTACATCATAAAACATACCTAAACTAACACACACAAAAAAATTGCTGAAATGTTCCCCATCACCTTCTTTTTTTTTGTGCAAAAGTTCATGTTTGAGGTGCAAAGCACAGAGGAGGAGGTGCTGATCTGTCTGCAGCAGGAAGATAGGAGGGTCTTGAAGAAAAACGGAGGAGGGGACAACCTGCCGATAGGCTTCGAGGTGCTGAAGGTTGGTGGAAACTCGAAACGAAACGCGAACCTGTCTGGCTTCTTGAAATTTGATTGCCTTTTTTCCCCCCCTCACCTCGTCGAGGTGGAGGCGAACCGCTGCAGCCGAGTGCAGCTGGTGGTGGAGCAGGCGGCCAGCTCCATCTACATGGACTCCCGCAGCGTGACCCTGAGGGGGACTTTGGCTTCGGGTCGATACGTGGTGCTGCCCACCACCTTCCTGCCGGGCGACACCGGACGCTTCCTGCTGAGGCTTTTCTCACACTCAAACGTCCAACTCAGGTGTGCCAAAGCGCCAAAATAAAAAGAAAAAAAGTCAGATGAAGAAACTCAGATCAGTCTGATGTTTGGTGAGGCAGGACCAGCCAATCAGACAAAGTGTAATGAAACTGTATCCTAATTCAGAGCAAGTAGTTAGTTCTTAAAAGAGAAGAAGTAAATGGTACCTGACACACCCACACACACACATACACACACACACACACACACACACACACACCACACACACACACACACACACACACAGCACACACACACACGCACACACACACACACTCGCCCACCTCCACACAGACAGACAAAAGACATTTAAGACAAAGTATTGAGGGTCAGTCTTGAAGCGCCCTCAGGTCTCCTAATAGACAATAAGCAGTTAATCAATTCATAAATTAATCTCATACTACATTTAAATGAGCTCCATTAATTTCCATTCAGATGATTAATGTTTTTCATTATGCGTTTTGTTCATGGTTTTGCTTGTGTTTGGATTTTATTTGCTCTTTTTGGATGTTTTTTGGTGTTTTAGATATTTAAGATCTCGTTTAGTCGCAGCGCGCAGTACTCTTTATATTAATATATTACTTGAGAACTGATCTCGAGACAATAATATTGTTTAGCGCACTGATTTCTGGGACAATTTATCATCCAGTAAAATGTGTTATGGAGACAATCCTATGGACTTTTTTAATCTCTAAATTCATCATAAACCTCGTAACCTGGTTTTGACCGGTTTGCTTTTCCACGTTTGATTGGATTAGATGTTTAACCTCGAGCTCTTCTTAAAGCTCGACAGCATCAATGCACCTCATCTCTGTAGGGTGTAAATTTTGCAAGGGAAAGTTGACTTTACTCGCAGACTTAAGGCAGCGATTGAAGTGGCAGACTGCACCGTTCCAAAGCTGCCATGAAGTTATGAGGAAATATTTTACCCAGAAACCATGTGACACAAAGGAACGAACTGTGACTAAACTAGAAAAACAACATAAAAGAGAAAGAGAAAATAACAACTCAATAGAAAATAGGTCAACACAAAAAAATATACAAAAAAAAGCAAAACGAACCCAGAACCTACAGAACTCGGAAATGTAGGGAACAGAACAGAACCATAAATGTTTATGAGCGAACAGATGATGCAGCATTTCCAGACTCCGCTTGGTTGAAACCAGCAATGTTTCCCAGACACTCTTCAGTTGATTCTGATTCTTAGTTTATGTCTGTTCATCAGGGCAGATATATTGATTGTTTTGACTTATGAAGCTCCAGTTTAAAAAAAATCTGTTTTTACTCTCAGAAACAGGAATTATTTTTCTTCCATGCCATGTAGCAGCATCCAGCTCCTGATCCCGGTTCTGTTTTTGTTTTTTTTCTTCTCTTTGAAGGGAACTAAAGGAAGAACTGCCATCTCCGTCTCTGTTCCAGTGTTTGCTACCTCAGCCAGCCGTGGTGACCACAGTCCATCTGCACAGGGCATCTGGACTCAAACCTCCCAAACAAACAGGTGGCTCAGCAGAAGAAGAAAAAAGAAGACGTGTTTTTTTTTTGTTTTTTTTTTTGTCTTCAGTCCTCGTCGACAGTTTCCACTTTGCTCTGTTTTCAGTTTCTTCTGTTTTTGTTCCTTTGCATTGCGTCGGGTCTCCTGCCTGGCGGCCGCAGCTCCAGGTGTGTACGCGGTGGTGCGGTGCGAGGGCGACGCCGTCAGGACGCGAGTGTTCAAGGCCGAGGACGGAAACCCCGAGTTCAACCTCCGAGCCATCTTCTACAGGAGATACCCCGACAACCACATCTCTGTCGAGGTTTGACGCTTTCGCCCTTTTCTTCCGTCTCACACCCGGTCAGACGACTGTGCATCACAGAAGCCTTCACAACCCTGGAGGTTTTTCACATGTTGTCTAAAAAACACATCAAAACTCTTGGTGTGTTTTATGTGATAGACAAACATTAAGTAACCGATCGAGTAAAGTGGGAAGAAAAATGACTCCTGCGCAACTTTTGATAAGTTTTGTCTGTCCGTTTTCTCATCAACTCTACGTGACTTTCTTGTCTGCGCCCCAGAAGAACATTCACACAGCATGATTCTGCCACCACCTTATCCTCCTATACACAGTTTTGCTAGTGGGACTAAACTTTCACATTTTGATCACATTTGACCAGAGAAGCTTCCTAAACGTGTTTGTTGAGTCTTGGTGAACTTTAAACATGACGTCCCGCGGCTCACTTTAAAGAATCGTTTTCTTCTGGTCACTCAGAGTAAAGCTTCAGTCGGTAACTTTTAGAACATAATTTGCTTTGATCTGGTTGGACAAGCGTTCATTGTGCTCCAAGTTTGAGATGTGTGACTCAAATTATTCAATCATCTGTTAACTATTCTTGATGTTTATGCAGCCATTTAAATCCAAACTTTGCACACCGCCCCTGGGAGTTTGACCACATGAAACCCCAATAAAACATTAAAGTCTACTTTCATCATAAGCTAATATGAAAACGTTTGAGTTTCGCGGTAACAACCTGCATGCATGCATGCTTGCATACGTGCAGCTGTGGAGCACAGGCCTGCTGTGGGACTCCCCCCTCGGAGCGGCTCGACTCCAGACGACCCAATCTGAGCGGAGCCGGAGCCTCGTGATGGATCTGCGAGGGGGACGGTCGCGCTCGGGGTCCAGAGGCTGCATCCACCTGGAGACGTCCACCAGCGTCTGCCTGACGGATTTGTGACATCTGCCTGGTTGCCACGGTATCACCAAGATCACTTTGGAGCAAATATAGACAAGGGACAGGGAACATAGCAAACCCTTTTTCTGTGTTCAGGGTTTTGTTTGGCTGCTATTATTTTTATTTTATTTTTTTTAATGCAACAATTATTTCTGTTTCCTATATATATTATGGTTTATTCCGTTTTATACAATAAATAATAAGACACCAGGAGCTTCTTTTATTTAATTTAAAGTCAAATATTCATATTTTTTTTAAATAAATCTTAATGGATGTTCCTTCAAAATGTGATGTTCTCTATTTTCATTCTTCATGCTTCAGGCAACAGGAGTTCTACCAAACATTCTGTCCAGACAACATAGAGCTCTGCCCGGCTGCAAACGTTCGATAAGACATGCTAATTATGCAGCATTTGTTTATCAGGATCTTCGAACAGGCAGCTGCTTTTATGAGCAGCAGGTGTCTGAATTAAAGACTTCACGACTCTCATTGTTTGATACCAGCATTTGTTGCAAACAAACCTTACTTTTGTTGATTTACGACAACAAAATGTCTTTTTCTGCGAAAACAGTTGCATCTGAGGCACTCATCTCTTTCCACTGTCTCTCTATTCTGGCTCTGAGTTTGACTGCATTGCTTTGTGCATATGTGAAGTGGACCCTCAAATATTCACAGTTCGATAATCATAAATGTATTTATTTTTAGAGGAACAGGACTCCAAATTATCCACAAAAAGTTGTTTATTCACTTTTTTAAAATTAATTTAGTTTTTGTGTGTGGAGGACTTCTCTACAAAGAAAGAGAAAACAAGGCTTGTTAAGCTGAAAAACCTAAAGGGCTTTCCAGCTTAACAAAAAGCTGAAAAGCCTTTGTTTTTCAGCTTTGTGGCTTTCTTCTGTTTGACAGAAGCAGGTGTTTGAAAAGCACCATTCATTTTCCTTGTTGCTGATTGGGCGTAACGCTGATGAGCTGAGTTGCAGTGCAAAGAAAGCTTCAACTGTGTGCATTAATGCATATTACCGTAAATTTGGTGCCTGAAATATGAAAATGAGCAGTTATGAACATTTTAGAGGGTCTCTCAAGTATTTCTGGCTTTTGAGCTGTTTGCTATAGTTGGCGCCATAAATCGAAATAAATCAACACATCCAGTTTGGAATTATTTAATGAGATCATTTAAGTCCTGGTGCTCATGTCAAGTCCCTAAATGCAGAGTTTTGCGGTCTACAGTTGGACCTCACCCCCTATATTTAGAACCAGTGCTTTAACGACAAATAATTTGTAATATTAAGTTATATTAAGTATATAGTGTAATATTAAGTTATATAATACAATATAATATAATATAATATAATATAATATAATATAATACAATATAATACAATGGACAAGATAAAAACTTAATATAATGGTCACTGTTATGGCTAATGGTATCTTCTTGTATAGCCAAGAAGTTCATTTTAATTTTAACGGGAAGCAGGAAAACAAACTCGCTCGCGAGCAGCTCTGCGTGCGCGCTCCCGCCGCCAGGAGTCTGCTCCGTCCGTCACCTAGCTCCCTCCCGCACATTAGGGAGAGGCTCTCGCTCTCGACACACCGACGACCCAGAAGAAACCAAAACTTCTGACTGAACTGCAGGTGAGTTCACGTCCTTTCCTTTGCGGGGCTGACTTTGACCGGAGACTCTCCGCGGCTGACCGCTGAAGCAGAGGCCGTTTTTCGGGACGTGGGAGGCGGCTAGAGTTCTGTCAGCAGCAGACTGTGTCTGTCCCACACCGAGCGAGAGAGAGAAGGAGAGATAAAAAGAGAGAGATGGAAAGAGAGATAGAAAGAGAAAGAGAGAAGTTTGAGGATTTCTGCAGCTCGTTTCTGCGTTCTTTTAAATCTGCGCCACGGAACCAGGAGCAAATGTGGGTTTTCATTCCCTCCTGTGCAGCAGATTCCTTTCCACATGTTGCTGCTGAAAATAAACTGTAGCTTTTTGGAACCGGTTCAGCTCTGGTCTGGGTTCACACACTCCCTCCACTCGTTTTGTGTTATGATCTCCGTTTTCCAGTCAGACTGGTTATGGGAGTGCAGTCTGATGAAACATTATTGGACTGCCATGGCTGTAATATTTATACCCGAAATAGAACATTTACTATTATTATTATTATTATTATTGAAGAGTAAATAATGTTCAAACATAACGTTGCACTTGAAAGTTTTTAAACAGTTGGAAAAGTTTTCTGTGTGTAGCAGGAACCAAATGGGAGTTTCCTAAGTTGTGACGTCAAGCATTTTATTTTATTTATTTTTTTTGTATTTAACCTTAACTTTTATTTGCAGTGCTTTTCATGTGAAAGCAGAAAAAACTTTTTTTTTTTTTGTTTTGCTATTTAAGAGACTTGCATTGTGGGTAATGTATCCAACTTTATTTCTTGCAAATATATTTCTAACTTGTTGACTCCTGTTGCTTTAATTGGAGCTTTTCTGTTAGCAGTCTGTCCCATGTGATTTGTGAAATTCATTTGGATGTGTCATTTGGAAGGTGTCCAACATGTACAAGAACAACGCCGCTTCCAACAGTTCAGCTTTTGCCAGTGAAAATACTTCTGAAATTGCCTGATTGGAAATTATTTAATAATACGAGCGAAGCCATCTACATGTAGGCATTTTGTTTTTATTCAGTTCTTGGGTTTAACATATTGCATTAACAGTTATTTTATCTTTACCACATTTGCAAAGAGCCCAATCTCACCTTTTCAAACGCACACAACAGACCACTCTGTCAAAAGTGAAGCCGAAATGGAGAAATGTGTGCAGCAACTGTTACTCAATACGTTCGATCAATGCGTTTCTATCAGCTCAGCTGCTCTCTGTTCAAGTTTATTGATCTCTCACGGCGTCTGGGAGGATTTTTGATCCACTCTTCTTTTTGACAATGTTTCAGTTCTTTGACGTCGGCATGGCGAACTCTGCCAATCAGATTCCGGTCTGCACTTTATAATTGCAGTACCTTGAGTCTTTGTTTTCCCACAGATTGTGTTGTAAACTTAGCTGCTGAGTTTGGGATCGTTGGTTCGTGTAAAGCTGCATTGTGTAAGTTTTATATATAAAAAAAGAATACATTTATTGAAAATAAATGTATTTTGTAGCATGAGACCGATAATCAGTGAAAAAACAATAAAATAGAACTCCTTTGCCTTCTCCCAGTGCCGTCTAGAGACAACCGGTCGGAGCCCGGAGGCGGGTCTAAGCGCTGTCAGTCACAGTCTGTGTGACTCACCCATTGACAGCACCTTTATTTACTTGTAAAGCCCTGAATGGGCTTCCCCTGTCTTATCTCTCTGAGTTGTCGCAGCCTTACTCACCTGCCTGCTTTGTCAGGTCAGCTGATCACTGATCTGAAACTTATTTTGTCTAAAGCAGTTTCATATTAGACTCCATGATGACATCCAAGATGGCAGCCGTCAAGGACAACTTTGGAATATCTCAACTTTTCTTGTATAATACTGGATTATACAAGGGTGGATTGTATCATCTGAGTTGTCAGGTTTGTTTTGGTGACGGATTAATTTGTCCATCAGCGTCACAATTCCTTGTTGACCTCTGCAGGTTAGCGTCACCATCCCTGAAGATGAGTGACATCAAAAACCCCCATCCGGCTGTACTGGGTGAGATCCTCTCTCCCGAGAGCTTAATGGTTTCTGTTCTGATCTGAAAATTGACCGTCCATGTTTTGTTTCTTCCTGCAGGAGTCTCAAAGGCGATTCTCTGCGTCATGCCCATTGCCTTCATTGCAGTCGGTGAGCGGTTGTCCGTCCTTCTGCCCGTGTCGTCGTGTTGCTTCACTGTGCTTCCTAACAGAGCAGCTTTTCCTCCGTCCACTAGGGGTGGTATACCGCAACGAGTGTCCAGTCCAGGAGAAGATCCCCATCTACCTGATCGTGTCGGGGGTCTTCACCATCGTTCTCAACCTCCTGTCTTGCCTCCCCGGCTCACGCTCCACCAAAGATGCACCGCAAACAACGACGGGCCACCTTCTCAACGTCTGAAACTCGCTGGTGTCTTTGTTCCTCTTCTGCTGGTTCATTACAGGTGAGCAGCTCTTGTTATTTGTACCGAACCCGAAAGGACAGAAATAATGTCACTGGTCGTCTGACAACCCCTTGGCGGGTTAACAGCAGAGAAGCTGGTGATTATTGTAGAAGCAAATTTTAATTTAGTTCAAGTCACATTTCAGACCCCAGTTGTCATTTTAGTTTTTCACCAGTTTAAATTGACTACATTTAAAATATGATGCGACAGTTGAATTATTGTTGTTGTTTTGGGGTTTGTTTGTTTTTTTTACATTTGTACATAAAATTTATGAAGACCTTTAGAATCAGGAAGTCTTTCCAGTGTTTCTTTTTTTCTTTGTTTGTTTGGTTTGTTTGCGACTGAAGCAGTCGCTCCGTTTGGATTTTCAGTCTTCAGTTTTGTCATCAGCCCATCAGTTCAGTTTTTCTAGTTGAGATGCCGGCGCCTTCTAGATCATTTATCTGTGTGTCTTCTGAAAGGCTACATGAAATGCATGACGCTGACAGGAAGTGAGACACAGACTACCAAAGAAGATCATGGCCTATTGTCCTACAAAGACTGACTACAATGTTCACATTGTGAGCGTTTAAGCCGCTCCTGAGCCACAAACGACATCAGAAATGTTTTATCTTGGCTGAGAAGCTAATAGGACTGACCTGTGGCTCGGAGGACCAGAGTCCTCAGATGAAAGTAAAATTTTCAATGTATTCGTAAGTCAATCCGCAGGTTGGAGGAAGCCTGCGGATTTTGGGAGTTTCATTAGCTAGTCTCTATGATCATCATAAATAGTGTAAACATTTGAAACTCTTCACTCTGTGTCAAGAACTGCTATAAATTAACTTTTCTAACAGAATTGCTGAAACTAAATGTTTTTATCTCTTGAATTATCATGGTTACACTTATCAATGCTGCAAAGCTGCATGTGTGTGACGTTTCATAAATTTGACATTGTAGAATAAACCTCTTGTAATTATGCACATTGACCACTAGATGCCGCCCTATAATGTACATTTTTTCTTAATTCACTGGCGCCATCCATCGCAGATGTTTTCTTGTGAAACTAAAAGGGACAGTAAGACTCTGAGGTTTTGTCCACTGCTGTGCTTAACCTTCTGCAGACTGTCAGTTCTGTGAACACTGCAGCCTTTTGTAGAGATCAATAGTTTTTATAGGTGTCAGTAGTTCTGCAGGGGTCTTGGCATTTTTTTTATTCCCTCCCTGTGCAATTTGTACAAATATTCAAAAGATTACTTTGAATTTGTTCATTAAATGGCACCGGCTAAGCTTTCAAATTACAGGCATTAAACATGGTTTTCATGAAGCTATTTGATCATAAATCTTTGACAAATCTCAGGCTTTTATAAAACAGCTGGACTTGTACTCATATTATGATTTTTTCTCATCTGCTTGATACTCATTGTTGACTTTTTGTGGTTAACATAGCTGTCTTGACACTTCTTTACATGGGAGGTTTGAAACTTTATCACAATACTTTTTTTGCTCGCATTCCTTCCCCATTTTGGACAGGCAACATTTGGATCTACTCCATTTATCAGCCCGAGTACAACAAGAACGCCACCGACGTGTCGCGCTACTGTAACAAGACGCTCTACCTGTTCGCCTTCTGGAACACCACGCTGGTCTACATCCTGGGGATTCTGTTCGTGCTCACCGGCTGCTGCGTCTTCCTCTGCTTCTTCCTGTGCGGCCGGGCCGACTCCGACGACGACGCCAACCAGCCGGCCTGAGAGAGACCGCGGCGAGAACTGGAGCCGCGGTGCTTCGAGCGTGACTGGAGCTGTTGGCTTCTGCTGTGCGAAAACAACTTATTATAATAATCCAAGTTTGAAAAGGAGAGTAAATATTCAGTTTAGTGACTTTTATTTGTTTATGGCTGTTGAATCTCTATGCCTCCCAACCTTTGTGCGTTTTTAACACCGGCTGTGTGCATTTTTGTTCATTTTTGCTGTATTTCGTCTACCACTGTGAATCAATGAATGAATCTATTGTTTGTTTGGACTGCGGTGCTGAAAGATATGTTTGGTGGGTTGTTTACATCTTAAGCTTTTTTTTTACCAAGACCAAGAGGAAATCATAAAACATCTCTTTAATTTACTGCTTGTGCTCATTTATTTTGCGCCGACGTCTATATTGAAACACGCGTCAAATCTTATTGTTCAGCTATATTGTCAAATATAGCGCATTTAAAATGTAAAGGTAAATAGGTGCATAATGTTTGTGTGTGACAGCTTATTTACCTTTCATGTTTGACATTTACGGGCGTAATAAGTAAGGTAGAGGCACACCGAGACATAAGAAGATGAACAGAGTTGACATATCTGACATAAGTGATAGCTTCCACTTTTCAGAGTGGAAGATGTTACAGAGAGAAGACTGGCTGGTTTCAGTGAAGTCAGAGGAAGGAAAAAAAAAAACATTAAATAGCTTGCAATGAAGATACGGTGCATCCTAAAAGTATTCACAGCGCTTCAAGTTGTCCATGTTTGACGTTGCGTCCTTGCTCTAAATTGTATTAAATGATTTTCAAAATTCTAAAAGCTCAAGTTGCAGAAGTTTCCACGGATCATCTTGGGGATGTTTCTTCAGCTTCGATGGATTCCATCTGTGGTAAATTCACAGTTAGATTTGATTTGAAAAGACACACAGATGTCTATATAAAGTCCCAGAGTTGACACTGAAGGTCTCCTTCAATCTCAGTGGACCGATCCCGCCATCAATAAAGATCAACTATTTCAAACAAAAGTGGAAAAGAAAAAACACACAAACCTCTGCAATTGTAATCAGACTTCTTCTCCATTACATAGCAACGAATGCTTTTGTTTTGCAAAGAGAGCTTGCACCAACTAAAACTGTGCAAATGCCACAAACTTACTAAAATGAACTCTTCTGCATTTTACGTGTTAAATAAGACTTCAACAGCAGAAACATCTGAAATATCCCGACACCTGTTTATTCATTTCATTAATACATAATTTACATACAAAACACAAGATGAAATGACGGCGAGTATTTGAAACGTGACGGGCTTCCGTGAGTAGAAATACGTTGAAAGCTTTGCGGGATGTCCTCGTCGTTCAAACCTTTGCCAATCTTTCGTTTCTCTGCCGTGGACGCGGACCGGTTGGCTGAGGTCGTGACGTCATCAGCACGCTTTGCGGGAGAGGGTTTCCAGCGACTTTGCGTGCGCGGGTTGGTAAATCAGAGCGAAGTTGGACGGGCTCAGCTGGCCGTTGCCCTGGGCGTCAACCGTCCCCATCAGCACGTAGTTCCGACCTGGAGGACAGAAAAAAAAAAAAAAGTGCAACTGTGACAAAACATTTCTATTTTTTGTTTTACATTTCAAATATTTTGCAAGGAAACTTTCGATTACTGAACTAGGGGTTTGTTGGAGTAAGCATTAAGATTGAATATCTTACTATGCTGAATAACCTCCGTTTGAAAACAAAGGGCAAACATCTCAGCGGAGACTTCAACTTATGACTTGTCAGAAACTCCTTGAACTTCCTCAATGATTCTTTTCTGGCCCTAAACTGAAAACATGCCAAGAAATGTATTCACAATTTGTCTCACTTTATTGACTGGCACACCTCAACGTAATGATATTTTGAGACTTAAAAGCAAACCTTGGTTTGATGTGGTTTTGGGACACAAGATGCTGTAAAAACACTAAATCAGCAAAAACATCTAAGAATGCTCGCCACTTTTTAATCAAACAACAGCTCCTCTTATGTCGTATGAAATACTGATACAAAGAAATGCATGGCTCTGCGTTATACCTTTGATGATCCCGGGGCATTTCTTGCAGGCGGAGCTCAGAGTGACTGACTTGATGGGTCCTGATCTGTTGATCTTCAGGCTCCCAGCCTTATAGGCTTTGATCAGAAACACCTCCAAAGTTGCTGAGCCGCTTGGATCGGGACTCAGAGAAGTCACCTTCCCTGTGATCACTGGACGGGCGAACAAAGCGGAACAAAGAGGAAAAACAGAAAAGACTTTAAAGGAGACAGAGGTGGTTGCTGAGCAATAGCCTTTCTGAATTAGAATGTTTATTTCCATTTCTAGGATATAATATGATAACTTATTACTCATTTTTTACAGAGGAAGAAATTGTGTTTTTTTTTTTGAGGTACAGAATGAAGCAAAATCTTCCATACCATCCCTGATTTCTTTAGTGTTGGCTTCTAAAAAGTCTATTTTTTGTGTGTAATTGTTTGGAACAGTCTTGATTCCTAGAGGTCTTTTTCTCTTGCTGATATTACTAGTTATTAGAGCGAAGAGTGTCCTTGTTATTTTCCCTGGTAGAAAACACATTTCTGTGGATGGATTTTGTTGAATGAGCCAATTCAACAAGTACAATTAAATAAAATGTCCAGAGATATAAAACAGGTTAAATGTCAATATTACTTAGGGAAAACCCTGGTAGTGAAAAGGATGTCCTAATGTTTTGTTTTATTTTTAGACAAAAGATGTTTTACGAAGGAGCTGGAGTTTCTCCTCACCAAAGTCATGTGGGCAGAAGTTGGAATGGAGAGTCCCTATCCTCGCGCAGGGTTGAGTACACAGTGGGTTGAGAGGCGAAGCTGCAGGAAATGTTCACACAAACACGCATTCAAACAAGAAACACATCAAGTGGCATCCTTACTGATACAGCTCCATTTCACTCACCTGTCATGTTGACAGCAGGCTTTTTGGTCACAGTCCTGCTCAGTTCTGGTTTAGTTGTTGTTGTTTTGGGCTTTACCTTTGGCTTCGCTGTTGGTTTCAATCCAGTCTTTGGGGTTGGCTTCATAGGTTTGACTCGAGGTTTCATGGTGGGCTTAGGCTTCACCCAAGGTTTCTGTGAGGGTTTGAGCAGGACTCTAGGTTTGGGTGTTGGCTTAATTATTTTGGTTTTAAGTGCATTTTTATCCCCAGGTTTAGCTGTGGGTTTTCTTACAGGCAACTTAGGTGTGGGTTTCACTGGTCTTGGTTTGGAGGTTGACTTGACTGCAGGCTTGGGAGTAGGTTTGCGGAGTGGGGGTTTCTTTACCAGAATCCTTGAAATTGGCTTTTTGGGGGGTTTTGGTGTCGGTTTAAAACGGGCGCCAGGTCGTGGTTTAACAAGTGGTTTGGTAGTTGGTTTAGATGTTGGTTTGACAGGTTTAGTAGTTGGTTGGACAGGTCTAGTCGTTGGTCTCGGTGTTGTTTTGAGAGAAGGTTTCAAAGTGGGTTTAATTGGTTTCTTCACTGGCTTTTTAGCTGGTTTAGGAGTTGCTCTTAAAGCTGGTTTGGTGGTCGGTTTAGGTGTTGGTTTGGTGGGTTTCCTCGGCTTTGAGGTTGGTTTCTGTGGCCTGGAAGTTGGCTGAAGTCTGTAGATGAAGTCACCTCCAGCTGTGGGTGTGCGCGACTCACGGGGCACACTGGAGTAATGCGCCATGAACCCGTCTGAGGTCACACTGAGATCCGACACAAACTGGACGAGGAGCTCGTTGCCATTTGTCACCACCGTTCTACATAAAGGTTGAGAAAATGTCATTGAAACCTCAAAATGCAATTTTGAAAGTAATTTCTTAGCAAAATTCTCACGGCGGCGCTCTATCTCCACAGTATTTCCCAATCCTCCTCGAGTCGTCGGTCTCTCCTCCGTTAAACAATGCCACGTAGTCGTAGCGACAGTACAAATCAGACTCCAAGTCCAGCTTCTCAAACTTCACTTCAATCACCTGGAAGACAGACGGCAACACAAACTATAAGCTTTACGACAGAAAGTGACGCAGGAATGTTTGTTCCGTCCTGGTTTTTATGAAATGAGTACAGTACAGCCACAGAGAGGTGGACTTGGAGGTGAAGGGAAATACAGGAAGGGAAATACAGAGGGGCTTTTAGCTCTTTCTGTTGCCCTTGGTTACTACCCCCCTCTCTCCCCCCCCACACACACACCTCCATTTCCTCAAGGTCAATCTCTTGGCTGGCATGAACACACCTGCAGAAACTCAATGCACTCTTTTATTTAACCTTCATTACCTTCATGAGCCACTGTCTCACTTTTTTCTTTCCCATCTTCCACAAACACATCCAAATGTTAGTCAATGTGAATTACTAACTATGTTTCCTATTGATGGGCATTGTACAATGGATTTGTGTCACTCAACTCTATAATAGCAGTGTAGACATTTGAAGTAGAAACATCCATAGAAATGTACATTTTGTCCATACTTCTAATCCAAAACAACTCCAGCTCAGTCAGATTCGAGGCAGAGCATCTGTGAAGATACAGTTTCAAGTCTTACCACTGATTTTCAAACTGATTTAGGACTTTGACTGGGACATTCAGCCTTAGGGTATATTCCACAATAGGCCTGCCATTTGTCCATTTAGCTCCATGTCTAATTTACTCTCACCAGCTTTCCTGTGCCCACTCAAGAGAAGCACGATGCTGGCCACCCAATGCCTGACCGTGGGGATGGTGTGTTTAAGGCCCTCCAAACTTATCAGTTAGCATATGGAATAAAATCCTTCATTTTAGTCTCAGAGCAGAGCATTTTTCTCCAAATGTTTGTTGTGTTTCCATAAAACACTTAAAAACCATTTTAAACAAATTGAAACATCAAGTGTTTCAAAACACCTTCAAAGGATTGTTGAATTAAAACACAAAATTAAACTCCTGTACAATTTTGGAGACGTTTTCCTAATGAAAAGAAGATTTTTATTCATCTTGACTTAAGTTTGACCCACTCAACAGCAAACATGACGACCTTCCTAAGTGCACAGGACTTCAACATGAACACAGGACATGAACACCCTGAGGACTTTCAACATCTTTTGATTGTTGAAAGATGATTCAAGCTGTCCATTTTTTAAAATAGCTTTTCTGCCGGATAACACAAAGAACACCAGGGGGCACTATCATTTGTAAACAAGGTTAAAAAGAAAAAAAAGAAAAGAAAAGAAAACTTCAAAGTTAAGAGGAAAGTTAGTTACATTACCATAATTAGTTAGTGTATGGCGATCAGCTTACATTGCTCGGCTCGACTGTGATGTGCCAGGAGCAGCTGATACCTGCTGGGTAATTGGAGTTGGGCCAGTTGGGCGTCTTCACAGAACCCTGTGGTTTG